AAAAAAGTATATTAAAGTTCATTTTATTAAGTGTATTTCCCAAGTATACTTGGATTCTGGTATTATACTTTTGAGTGTGCTATTTTAATACATTTTGGGACTAAATTGTCCCACTTTTTAGTTTATAAAAGTATTTTTTATATATTTTAGATATAAGAGTAGTAAACTTTGAGTACACATCTAGTTTACATTTAACCTAAATCTTGTACTGCAACTATACTGTGAACTAGGAGTTGCAGAACTTCAGACTATTAAAGTTGACAGCTTTGTGCTGAAAGTCGAGTCGATGTTGACTAATCACTGACATTATGAATAAAACCACAGGAGAAGGGAATGCTTTGTCTTCTCCTAGGCGTCCATGTTGTTATGGTCATAATCATGTGATCAGTGACTAGTCAACATCAAGCTTCAAGCATCATCGCTGAGCAGTAAAGTCAACAAGTCGACTAGTCTGTATTTCTGTATACTTGTCAGTATAGGTCAAGTACAGTTGTGTATAATTTTGTTTAGTGTATCTCTGATATGTACATAAAGTAAACTGAAAACATGCTCACTTACTTTCGTTTAAAAGCAGTTCACTATTAGCACACGTAATAAACTACTTTTTTATAGAGAAACTTATTAACATATTTTCTGCTTAAGAGGTATTTTTCTTTATATTGATTTATTTCAGGGCAGACCACTGAACTCCTGCCTCCACTTCAATCATGCGTTCAACTGGCTATTTATCAGGTTACAAGCAAGTTTTATTAGTGATCTCTAATGATGTAAAAAGTGACAGTGTGTCACATCCTGGGGATTCCCCTCCTCACCTGCAGAGGGCACTGTCACCTCAGCTGACTGCACACCTGAATCCTGTTTTATCATTTCTCAGTCTATATGGACCATTGACCAATAGTCCAAAGTACATCAACAATACATATATTTGTGTAATGTTGATGTATTTTTGGAATTTTGGGGTGTTTTTGATTATTGTGGTGATGTGATGTGATGTGATGTGATGATGAGTGCAAGATAAATTTATGTAAAAATAGAGAAGTATTATCTAATCTAATATATTAAAACAAACATAAAAGAAACAATGAAGTATTCAGACCTTAGATATTTACAGTAATTCTATTATGATCTGTTTAAACCCAAAGCATTATTAGTGATAGTAATGAGCTAAATATATACAAAACCATCATTTATAGGATCTTTTCTGTTGGGAAGTGTCTTTTGTTTTTCTTTTTCTTGATTTTTTTCAATGTTATTTTTAAAAAGATATTTTTTAATTTCTTGTAAAGTGAAGTTAAAAAAGAGTTCAATTAATCATGAGTTTCATTTTTAAATAAATTTAAAAAACGTACCATGCTTTCACGACTGAAACACAGAGTTGTATTAAATGGGCGGAGGCTTATTTTAGTTACGCCCTCTTTTAGAGCAGGAAATGAGGCTGCATCCCTGTCCCTCATGACCACATCATGAGCAGTTAGATAAGTAAATGTGTCCCAAAATCTAAATGTCAAAGTGGAACATTAATAATTGTCACTATAGAAACACAATTTCTGCAATTAAGTAAACTTTTTTGTTAAAAATATTATGACTTTATGTGTTTTACAACTGTTCAAAACTTTGTTTCATGTACTGGTGAGCATTTTTGAGTTCTGCTCAAAATGAACTAAAATAGTTGCTACTGAAACATTATTGTAATTTCTTTGTTAGTGACAAAATGGAATGTTCAATCATTTGTATTAATAAAATAAACATAATTAAGGTGTAAGGCCACCAAAAACAAAAGGAGGTTAGTTTAAATTTAAAAAATGTGGTTTCAGCTCTGAACCCACTGTGCTCCAATTGTGAGCCTAGCAATTATTTAAATAATTATTAATCTTTTTATAATATAAGATCATATTATATCTTTTATTTTGCTTATGACCTTCTGCCAGTTTTCCACTTTACTCATATTATTTTCCTGAATTGGACTGGCTTTACGCGTTTTTGTTTTCCTGCTGATATTGAAGTTTGGCTCACAACTGGACCCCACCAGTGAAACTGTTTCAGAGGAGAGCTAGCTCGCTCTCTCTCTCTCTCTCTCTCTCTCTTATTTTGTGTTGTGTAATACTGCAGGAATCCAACAATGAGATGATTGGCATCCATGGCTCCCAAAAAAAAAAATCAACATCCGGTTTATTTCACAGCTGTGGTCAACAACAACAATAGGAAAACTGAACTCTTGATGGAACAATCCACTCACTGCTGGGGTCTTTGGAATGCTGCCGCTGGCGGTGGAAAATCCAGTCCGTTGAAAATCAGAGATTATCCGATTTGCTCTCGTCCATCTACTGTAAACATGTAAACGCAGCATTAGTCTGACTACTGTTGCTACACATTATTGGGGAGAGCAGTGTTTTGTTGCCTGGCTAACATTATCTACCAAGCAATGTACCATTGATTAGTTGTAGAGGAAAGTAGTTCGCTATATTCTGTACACTTTCTAATAAAGCAGTTCATAGCTAGCTGCAGTGAAACTGAGCCCCTTTTTGATGGCCTTGTATGTTTCTAGTATTGGTAAATTAAAAGACTATTTTTTGTGAATTTAGGATGCTGTTTATCTAATGGTGACTTTTTTTGTCCTACCAGGTCTTACATGGTTGTTAGGACTCCCATTGACCTCAGACTTTGGCATGTATACTGCATGCAAGTATATTTATGCACTATATAAAGTATTGGGACAGACATCTTAATAATTGAATTTAGGTGTTTCATTCAGTCTCATTGCCACAGGTGTATAAAATCAAGCACCTTGCCATGCAGCCTGCCTTTACAAACATTAGTGAATGAATGGGTCATTCTAAAGAACTCACTGAATTCGAGCGTGGTACTGTAGTAAGATGCCACTGTTGCAACAAGACAGTTCATGAAATTTCTTCCCTTCTAGATATTACCGATAAACTGTGAGTGGTATTATTAAAAAGTGAAAGCATTTAGGAACCACAGCAACTCAGCTACAAAGTGTTAGACCATGTAAAGTTACAGAGCGGGTTGCCGAGTGCTGAGGAGCATAGTGCATAAAAGTCACCGACACTCTGCTGACACAATAACTGCAGAGTTCAAACCTCCTCTGGCATCAACATCAGTGGCATGGGTTTCCATGGCCGAGCAGCTGCATACAAGCATTACATCACCAAGCCCAATGCCAAGCATCGGAAGGAGTGGTATAAAGCATTCTGGACTCTGGAGCAGTGGAAACGTATTCTGTGGAGTGATGAATCACGCTTCTCTATCTGGCAGTCTGATGGACGAGTCTGGGTTTGGTGAATGCCACGAGAACATAACCTACCTGACTGCATTGTGTCAAGTGTAAAGTTTGGTGGAGGAGGGATGATGCTATGGGGTTGTTTTTCAGGGGTTGGGCTCGGCCCCTTAGTTCCAGTGAAAGAAACCCTTAATGCTTCAGCAGACCAAGAGATTTTGGACAATTTCATGCTTTCAACTTTGTAGGAACAGTTTGGGGATGGCCTCTTCCTGTTCCAACATGACTGCGCACCAGTGCACAAAGCAAGGTCAATAAAGACATGGATGAGCGAGTTTGGTGTGGAAGAACTTGACTGGCCTGCACAGAGCCCTGACCTCAACCCGATAGAATACCTTTGGGATGAATTAGAGCGGAGACTGTGAGCCAGGCCTTCTCGTCCAACATCAGTGTCTGACCTGTCAGTGTCTGACAAATGCTCTTCTAGATGAATGGGCAACAATTTCCACAGACACTCTCCGAAATCTAGTAGAAAGCTTCCCAGAAGAGTGGAAGCTGTTATAGCTGTAAAGGGGAATCAACTCCATATTAGTGCCTATGGATTTAGAATGGGATGTCATACAAGCTCCTGTAGGTGTCCCAGTACTTTTGTTCATAAAGTGTATGTTGTCTGTATTTCTCCACATAACTCCTGTGTTCCTGTGCTTGTATTACTTGATTGAGAGACTGTTATGTGGCTTTATAGCCATGTTCTCTTACTCTGGTATGCAGTGGAATGGAGTATTTTGACTGGAAGCTTACACAATTTGCTTTGCATGAGTGTTTGGGAAATGGCGTGTAACGTGGAAGCAGCAGATATAAAGGCAGCATGCAAATTTAAATTTGTTTCATCTGTTCAGATTGACAACTGATTTTAAAACAGCAGGCAGAGACAGGAAAAACAGGACAATGCAGACAAGCAGACAGACTGTGTGACCTAACCCATAATACAGCAACAAAGAACAATGCTGAGCAAGTCACACTGGGAGACAAAGGACTACATATAGACACTGAAGCTGATTAGACAGAGCAATGATTACCAGGAAGAGTTATGAACTACATACAGCTCAACAGGATAAAATTAGGCCTTGTATGTGTAAAATGCTTTGCAAAGAAAAATAATTTAGATTCTGATATCAAGGAGGCGGAGCTAGGGCACAACAGAGATAAGAGACAGGTCTCAAAGCCAAAGATGTACCTGAGAATTTAACTGCATATCTTTCAGTCCTTTAATCTGCCAGTGTCCTTTGCACACAAATAAGGACATAGTCAAATCAGGGACCACAAAGCAGGATTTCTAAATTAGCCAGATAACTTAAGCCAAAGATAAAGATTGTCCAACAGAAATGTCCTTCAGCTCTTGTCCTATTGGATAGTCTTGACTTTGGGTCTAAAAATACCCCCCCCTGGTTCTATGACTCTTATTTTGTAGAATAATGTGTTACATTTGTTTACTCTTGTCTTCTGACCTATGATTGGGCAATAACTACAAGCCTACAGGAAAATATGTTTGTAGCACAAAATTTTGAATGTTAATTTTAACACTTTAATTCTTTTTGTCTGGTTGGTTTTATTTGTTTCATTTAATGTAGGTGTCTGTTGCATTTGTGGAACTTTGTTCATTTGCATTCCTCGCTGTAATGTGTTCACATGTAAATCAGCACCAGAACAGAAGCACAAAACAAAGACAGAGTTTTCCAGGATATGGTTTTCATCCATTATCAGACAGAACACAGACTGCAGGAGACACACAGACTAACAGAGCTTCTTTTAGACCTACAGTTGCTAACAGGTAAGAAACACCTTTAAGAACTCTAGACTGGCTGTTGAGCTTAAACGCTTCGTCAAATACTCGTTTTTAATGTTCAGTTTAAGGGAAAAACTTGCATCAAAAAGAAATGTGGTTCTTGACAACACTTACATTGTAAGAGAAGACTGTTGTGTTTGGTGGGATAAACACAACAGCACTATCCATGATGTTGTAGCCAAGATCTCTAGAGTCCATGTCAAGACCACCTGGGCAAATCAAGTCAAGACCAAGATCAGATAAAGATATTTTCAGAATCTAAAAACAAAAAGAAGAAAGGAGGAAAGATGAAATTTGTTTGTGGTTCATTGTAATTACATTATGATTCATTATACATTATTATTATTATTATTATTATTATTATTATGGTAGTAGTAAAATGAATACACATTAACAAATATACATTTTTGCATTTACTTGAATGAAATAAACTTAAATTGAACAGTAGAAATCCCTGGGACTCTTATTTTGATAGCACAGGTTTTTGTGAGTGTTTTCTTAAGAACAATTTCTGACTCTGCCTTTTGCCGAGACCGAGGCCACAATCGAGAACTACAACACTAGCCAGCACAAACTGACCTGTTAGTAATGCATGTATAATAATTCATGAAAATTATTATGTCATTGTGCATGCATATAGCTGCTGCCTGTATGTATTCACAGCAATCATTCATGTAAGTTTATACCATCATATGTTCCAGTTTAAAGTTGTTATTACTGAAATCAGGAGTTTATGTTTTATGTTTATGTAAATGTTTTAATCACACTCTATTTTATGCATTGACCTGCTTTCTCAGTTTTGCATGAGTGTTTGGGAAATGATGCGCAAGGGATGCGGAAGGAGCAGACATGAAGGCAGGATGCAAATCTGTTCAGCAGATTTTAAACAAGCATGAAGGACAGGACAATACATGCAAACAATGAACGAGCAGGCGTACTGTAAACTAATCCAAAATTAAACAACAGACAACACGGCTGGGCAAGAAATATTGGGAGACAATGGGCTAAATCCAGGCTGTGTACTGTAAATTGTGTTATCAAGTCAAGTCAAAGGAAGACTATTCTAGTAATATTGGTTATACACTATATTGCCAAAAATATTCACTCGTCTGCCTTCACACGCATATGAACTTGAGTGACATTCCACTCTTAATCCATAGGGTTTAATATGATGTCTGCCCACCCTTTGCAGCTATAACAGCTTCAACTCTTCTGGGAAGGCTTTCCACAAGGTTTAGGAGTGTTTATGGGAATTTCTGACCATTCTTCCAGAAGCACATTTGTGAGGTCAGACACTGATGTTGGACAAGAAGGCCTGGCTCACAGTCTCCGCTCTAATTCATCCCAAAGGTATTCTATCGGGTTGAGGTCAGGACTCTGTGCAGGCCAGTCAAGTTCCTCCACACCAAACTCGCTCATCCATGTCTTTATTGACCTTGCTTTGTGCACTGGTGCGCAGTCATGCTGGAACAGAAGAGGCCGTCCCCAAACTGTTCCCATAAAAAAGTTGAAAGCATGAAATTGTCCAAAATCTCTTGGTTTGCTGAAGCATTAAGAGTTTCTTTCACTGGAACTAAGGGGCCGAGCCCACCTCCTGAAAAACAACCTCACACCATAATCCCCCCCGACTCCACCAACCTTTACACTTGGCACAATGCAGTCAGACAAGTACCGTTCTCCTGGCAACTGCCAAACCCAGACTCGTCCATTGGATTGCCAGACGGAGAACCATGATTCGTCACTCCAGAGAACACGTCTCCACTGCTCTAGAGTCCAGTGGCGGCGCTTTACACCACTGCATTCGACGTAAGGCTTGTATGCAGCTGCTTGGCCATGGAAACCCATTCCATGAAGCTCTCTACGCTGTTCTTGAGCTGATCTGAAGGCCACATGAAGTTTGGAGGTCTGTAGCGATTGACTCTGCAGAAGGTTGGCAACCTCTGCGCACTACGCGCCTCAGCATCTGCTAACCCCGCTCGGTCAATTTACGTGGCAGACCACTTCGTGGCTGAGTTGCTGTCGTTCCCAATCGCTTCCACTTTGTTATAATACCACTGACAGTTGACTGTGGAATATTTAGTAGTGAGGAAATTTCATGACTGGACTTGTTGCACAGGTGGCATCCTATCACAGTACCACGCTGGAATTCACTGAGCTCCTGAGAGCGACACATTCTTTCACTAATGTTTGTAGAAGCAGTCTGCATGCCTAGGTGCTTGGTTTTATACACCTATGGCCATGGAAGTGATTGGAGCACCTGAATTCAATGATTTGGATGGATTGGTTGGATTGAATACTTTTGGCAATATAGTGTACATGCATTGAAGGACAGACTGGGATCGATCGTGACACCAAGGTTTTTTACAGATGTACCTGATGCAACTGAGAAACCATTCATTTTAAGCGTTAAATCAGACAGTTTGTTTCTAGCAGCTTTTGGATCTAGAAGAAGAACCTCTGTTTTATCTTAGTTGAGCAGGAGAAAGTTACTCAACATCCAGTCTTTTATGTGTTTTACAGTCCTCAATCTTGTTAAGTCGAAGTTCTGTTCTGAATATCTGGTATGGTCGATATATACGATTGTGTGTCATCGGCGTAGCAGTGGAAATTGATGCCGTGTTTACTGATGATGGCACAATTTGTAGCATATATTATGTGAATAACAGAAGTCCTAAAATAGAGCCTTATACTCCAGGATATACTATATACTGCATTTTTTTTTCCAGATATGCTAAGCGCTTCGTCTCTGTCTAACTAAAACTACATGCCTTTATACAAAGGCCTCTGTATTGCTCTGCTTTTTTTATTTTGTTCTTACTGTGATAGTCTGTTGTCTGGGAGAACATATTATTAAGGGACCACCTTCTATACTCTCTGAGGTCCACTTATAACATTTGTGTTGTTTCATGTACCAAAAATAGTCATTCATTTTTACCTCTCTTTATCCCTTAGATTTAAACAGATTGTTCTTGCTACCTTTGAGACTAATATATGTAAATAATTCTGTTCTGATTAGCTGTCATGTGCTGTGCCTCATTCAAAAAGCACTTGGAGTTGAAACACTGCTTATAACTTCAGTGTAAATGGGTGGAGCTAAATTGCTAATAGGCTAAATAGGTGGATATATGTAAATTAGTTGGTTCTCATGACACCACAGAAACAATGAGTTCCATTCATGGACTGTATGGAGTGGGGAGTGAAAGGTATGTTTTGAAACCCTCACAGAGCAGGTACTATTTGGGCGGTGGATCATTCTCAGCACTGCAGTAACACTGATGTGGTGGTGGTGTGTTAGTGTGTGTTGTGCTGGTACGAGTGGATCAGACACAGCAGTGCTGCTGGAGTTTTTAAACACTGTGTCCACTCACTGTCCACTCTATTAGACACTCCTACCTTGTCAGTCCACCTTGTAGATGTGAAGTCAGGGACGATAGCTCATCTGCTGCTGCACAGTTTGTGTTGGTCATCCTCTAGTCCTTCATCAGTGGTCACAGGGTGCTGCCCACAGGACGCTGTTGGCTGGATATTTGTGGTTGGTGGACTATTCTCAGTCCAGCAGTGACACTGAGGTGTTTAAAAACTCCAGCAGCACTGCTGTGTCTGATCCACTTGCACCATCGCAACACATACTAACACACCACCACCACGTCAGTGTTACTGCAGTGCTGAGAATGATCCACCACCCAAATAGTACCTGCTCTGTGAGGGTCCATGGGGGTCCTGACCACTGAAGAACAGGGTAAAAGGGGGCTAAGAAAGTATGCAGAGAAACAGATGGACTACAGTCTGTAACTGTAGAACTACAAAGTGCACCTATATAGTAAGTGGAGCTGATAAAATGGACAATGAGTGTAGAAACAAGGAGGTGGTCACAATGTTATGCCTGATTGATGTATGCCAAATAATACTTCACATACTGCTAACCTGCTACAGATATACATACTGCTAAAGTACATATTTGTACCTTTTCATAATGTGATATTCTAAAACAGAAAAATAAAATTAAAAGTCTGTCTGATTCATAACAGTATATTTAGTCGATGCAATTGAAAAAATATAACTGCAATGAAAAAGGCTACAGTTAGAGTAGCTGAATTAGAGTAACTGAAGACCCCAGTGACAGTTTCGTTACCTTTTTCTGCTAGTGTGCCTTTAAGTCTGATGTATGTAAATGAGCTCTGTTGTGATTGGTTGGCCTATTTTGTGCCAAATTCAAAAAGGAGTCCAGACAGAATCACTCTTTGAAGCTTTGCTGTGAATGGGCGGGGCTAAACAAGCTGTTTTTGCAGCTCAGTCTCCATATATGGATTGTATCAAGCGAAGTGAAGTACGTTTTGAAACTTTCGATGTTTATATACTACATCAAGCTTTTATTTAATATATATAAAAGCTACAAAAATGTGATTTCCCATGATACCTTTTAAATATAACTGACTACCAGTACATTACTATTTATATAAATGTTTTGCCATATAAAGTAAAATATATTGTCTCTTAAACAGTGTGATCTGATGTGCTGGTAGTAAAGACTGTTGAGGTGTTTAATGTGTGAACTGTGCCTCTCTTGTTCTCCACAGTCATGAGTTCAGCTCTGTATCTGATCCTGCTTTTCTCAGGTCAGTGTAGCTTCATGATCATCTGTAAAACTCTCTGCTGCTTCATTACTGTACTGTCATGCTGATGAGAGCTTTCATCTCTACAGCTCTGTGGACTCTCTCCTTCTGTTGGGACTCGTCAGTTTCATGTGGTGAAAGAAACTAAGAACTGGACCGACGCTCAGAAATACTGCAGAGAGAAATTCGCTGACCTGGTCACCATTGAGAGCCCAGAGGAAATGGATGCTCTGATAGCTTTTCTCAACAAGACAACAGGCAATTTCTGGATCGGACTGAGACAGAAAGTTCAGCAGGGAACATCCAAAGTAAGGACATTTAGACAAAGTATAAAAACCAGCCATAACAGATGTTCATGCACCACAGCACCTGCTGTTTTTTTAGCTATTTGATATGTTCCTCTTATTAGTATACATTAGACATATTCTACACCAATAGAAGTGTGAAATGCCAAACTACATTATGATAATCATTCTAGTTGTATAACAACTTCAAAAAACATTTATAGCACAGATGGATTCAGTTTAAACTCTGTTAAAATCCCTAGATTAAAATCTTAACAATACTTGTAACTGTAAAAGTGATGTTTTCATATGGTGTGATGAGCACTGAGGGGTCAGTGTTTAAAGGTTTACTGATCAGCTATTATTGTGTCTCCAGAGCTGGATCTGGTCAGATGGGAGTCAATTCTCATACAGCAACTGGAACCCTGAAGAGCCAAACAACCCTGGGAGTAATAACTGTGGGGTATTACTGAGTGACTATGCATACAGATGGAATGATCTAGGCTGCCAATGGTTTCAACCATTTGTCTGCCAAGAAGGTGAGTGATATAAGATGATGAAGTGCAGCACATCTGAGTTCATTCACTTTTACTGTTTTGTGTTTGGGGCAGTTACACTGAATGCTTTTATGTGGATAGATCTGAATGGTGAATTACACACTTGTTAAAATATGGCTCTTCAAGGGTTCTTTAGTAAAGAAAGTGGTTCTATATAGACCTTTGAACACTCAAAGAACCATTTTCCTGCTTTGTATCGTGAAATGGGTCTTCAGATTGATGGAGAAGGTGCCGTAGATGGTTCTATATAGAATCCTTTTTGAAAAGGGGTCTATATAGCAACAAATAAGGGGTCTTCTATTGTTTTAGGCTTGACATCATAACAATAGAAGACCCATTTTTAGTGCAGGCTTTTGGGGTGCCTAAGCAGGACCCCCCATCTGCATAGGCATTCCCCCAGATCAGTGCATGGTAAACGGTTTAAAAACAATGGCAATTCTTTTTTAAACAACAGCTTTTACATCACCAACTTCAATAGAGCACACAACAAATTCCTAAAGGTCCAACTAAATAAATAAATGCAAATATCAAATATACAACTAATAAATATGCCTAACCTAAATAATGAACTTAATTTTAACAGCAACTAACAGCAAAGGTAAAAAAAAAAGCAAAATAGCTTAGACAAAGTAATGTCAAACAATTAACAGAATTATTAACACAGATATTCTGTGACAGAACTATCATAATACTAACCTGAAAGCAATAAACTACTGAAATGGAGACTATTGGTATGTTGTAAAATCACAAAATATTCAGCAGCATAAAAAATATGCTTCTTTCTATTTTCTTAGAGTTAAAACTGATACGAATCTTGACTTGTGTAACTATTTTGTGTATGGCTGAGTCAGTGAAGTTCCTCACTCAGCACTGATCCTTTTTAAACTCCAGGCATGTTTTTGAGTCAGTCTAAAGGCCTCACTGTCATTCAGAACTTCTACTGTGAAGTGTTTGCTGTGTACCCCAGCTGAGTGACCAGGGTCATTTCTGTGTGGAGTTTGCATGTTCTCCCCGTGTCTGCGTGGGTTTCCTCTGGGTACTCCGGTTTCCTCCCACAGTCCAAAAACATGCAGTCAGGCCAATTGGACATGCTAAAATTGCCCCTAGGTGTGAGTGTGTGTGTGACTGTGTATGTCTGTCTGTCTGCCCTGTGATGGACTGGCGACCTGTCCAGGGTGTATCCTGCCTTCCACCCAATGACAGCTGGGATAGGCTGCAGCACCCCACTGCGACCCAGAAGGATAAGCGGTTTAGATGATATATATATATATATATAATGGCCATTATATACATACATTATATTCTATTATAATTCATATTATGATATGTTGTCAGAGATTTAGGAAACAGGCTAAGTTGAAATACTGGCTTCTCCGACAACAGTGCTACAGCCAGTATGTTCTTATTTGAAATATGTGATCAATTTATGTCATATAGTGATTGTACTCTCTCAGTTCAAGGTCTCCCGCTCCTCCTGATTAAAGAGGAGAAAACATGGTGGGAAGCTCTGAGATACTGCAGAGACAACCATGTGGATCTGGTCTCTGTTCACACTGAGAAAATTCAGCACTGGGTGGAGTTTTTTACTAAAAATGCCTCCACTGTTAATGTGTGGATGGGTCTGCGTCACACCTGTGCTCAGAACTTCTGGTTCTGGGTGAGTGGATCGACTATGTGCTACCAGAACTGGGCTCTGGGGAACGGAACAGGGGAGGAAGACTGCAGTGGAGGAGAAAGATCAGGAGCCATGAAGTCTGGAAGTAAGCAGTGGGTCAGTCTGCCAGAGGATCAGAGACTCAACTTCATCTGCACCACCTCTGAAGGTGAGACCAAGGCTTCTGTATAGTCTAATAGCAAAGATACTCATACACACATAAGGAATTATTCATTCTTAATCTTTTTTGTTTCTTTTCAGAGCTCTAGGAAAAGATTCAGGCAACCACTAATGGAACTAATGGAACTGGATCTTCATACTTCACCATAGCATATATTTTTATTGCTTGTGTTTTTCCTGTATTTGTTTTCTGTGATATGTTGTACATTGCAGATGCCTTCAGACAGACTCTGCATAATATGATTGTGTTGAACAAAGAACAGGGGTCATCCAAGAACAGTCCATCCACAACTACAGAGAGTGGGATTTTATAGTAGGACTGTACACCAAGAGAACAGTACAGGCCTGAGAGCCTGGGCCCTTCTGACCTACCTGTTACACTTACCTGTAATACTCACTTGTTGTCTGTTCCCTAGCAGAGTCCATTAAAGGGAGGCAGAGCAGACTGAGCTCACTCATGAGTGCCAGCTCATGGGAGAGGTGATATCAGCAACCTGGAACCGTTAAGAGAGACAGGTTAATGAATGTGTACTAAGGCCTTGTGATACTGATTGCTTTTAGATTGTTTGTACTTAACCTTATTGTAACCCATGCTGGTAGGATAGCAACACCCCTGTGGAGTGGAATGGTTCAGCTCAGGTAATTCAGGGGCGGGGCTTATCTTATACAAGGCGTGGGAGAGGGTTAGTAGAGCAGGCTACTCACCTCAGGCTGAGAGAGCTGAGGGAAGACATGAGTAGAGCTCACTAAGTGTAGTTCCACAGCCTTGCGGCCTAGAACTAAATATCCTTAACTGTACTGCTGTAGAGCCAGGATAATACTTCTTTTAACTACTGTTTACTTTCATTTGTACAGTTTAATTTTTGTGTGTTTTCCTCTGTGTGTAAATAAAATCCCTCACCGTTTGAACCTGACTACCCGGCGGCATCACATCATTACACCTGCAAATTCATCTCTTTCACCATTCAGTCATAACCCACCCGGTAACTTTGTGTCTCCTCGCGAAGTTCGGCAAACCATCGTCACACCCCTGCAGGGTTCTGGTGGCTCTGTTATGCTGTGGGGGCATTTTCCTGGCACGTTTTGGTTCCACTTGTCCCATTAGAAGGAGTCTAATTAGTGCAAATCAATATGAGGTGACTGATGATCTTTATCATATGATAAAGCATTTCTATCCTGATGGGAGTGGTCCCTTCGAAGATCACAATGCCCCCATCCACAGAGCATGAGCACTTATGCTTTGACTGGTTTGATGAGTATGAAAATCTATGGGAGGTCTGGGACCAACGTGTTAGACAGCTCTCTCCTCCACCATCATCAAAACACCAGCTGAATGAATTTATTTGGAAGATAAGTGGGGTGATTTACAGTAAGTGTTTACTAACTAATATTAAGTATTAATGCACAATACCTTAATAATGGTTAGCTAACCCTAAGTAAACAAGTAATTGCATCAACTACATAGTTTTCACATTAAGTGTTAACATAACTGATGTATTTCTTAACATTGAAAACACTCAGGATGCTTAATAGTGTTAATAGTAATGTGTTAATGTGTTATAGTGTTAATAATGGCTTATATTTTTGGGTTTAATTTCAATCCGTTGATAAAATTAAATACCAAAGCTCCGGAGTGAGAGCCACAGTAAAGCAGTCCATGAGCTGAACCAACACAACAGAATGAAATCAAACGCAAAAATATATTAACTAACCTTTATTAACATAGTATCTCATGCGTTTTTAATGCTAACCAGTACATTAGTAAATGTAAGTCAACATGTAAAAACAACATTAACTGAGGCAGGTGTTTGTTTAATGTTGTACCTCATGTGTTGTTCATGGTAACAAATGCATTACTTAACCCCTTTAAAATCCCAGGCTTATTATATATTAAGGCTTATTATTCAGTAACTACAAGGACTACATTGCAAACTAGCAGAGCTACTCTTAGGTTATAGAAGTGTGTAATAAAACTTTGGGCCCACCGGTGGGTTAATATTAGTTTGTAAACACTTACTGTTAGTGTTCCTTTCCTCCAGTACAGTTCCTGAGACTTGGGACACACACTGAAGCTATTCTGATGAGTGGTGGTGGCCCAGCACCTTACTAAGATATGTTATGTTGTTTTTTTCCTTACAAATGTTTACTTATTTGTGTATTGACAGTATCAATAATAGCTCTCTGCATTGTGTCTTACAGCGGACCAAAAACTGTTGAATCTACTCACCTACTGTAAACTAAAGAAGTTTACAAAGATGTTTGTTTCAGGTCTTTCAACGTCAGACACCCTCGCTAAGGTGACCCAGCCGGTGTTGATCAGACTCCAGTCTGCGTCCCAGCAGTCCACGGTTCACCCCTCCTAATCCACGGCAACCTGTTGTCTATGATAGTTTACTCCTGTTTACTGACTGTAATTCAGCTTTACACTAATTACTTCAGGAAATAACTTGTATGAGAGATGGAGAAGTCAAGTCATGAGAGATACCACCTTAAATAAACACCTTTGACCCTCAAGCACTCACAGTTCATCATTCCTAGTTCTTGTTTGACATTCTGTATTTGCCTGTATTTCCTAAAAACTACAGAGCCCAGCTGGTAAAATCCTGCATAAATAAAAAATAATGCGTAACCACGGCTTAGTAAGATGTGGGAATGAGATAATTAAGATGTGTCCATGAGTTAGCAAGGTCTGGGAACAAGATAATTAAGACTTGACCACAGCTTAATATGGCATGATCTTGTTCCCACACCTTACTAAGTCATGGCCACACTTTAGGATCTCAGTCCCATGTGTTAATATGGCGTGCCCATGCATTATTTTTATTTTACAGGATGTCACCAGCAGGGCTCCAAAAATTACAGAGCAACTCTGATTTGTGAAAAAGTATTTGAGACTGTTTTTTTTTTTTTCAACACTAATTTTTTTCAGAGATACATTTGAGACAAATTAAACGGATTCATTTTAGATTGCTAATATGATTTGCTTCTCATGCAACGTATGAATCTACTGTACGTGCATTCATTTGCATTTGTTTACTGACTCTTCCTGTAAATTATCAACAAGAACGCTGGAGAGGCACAAAAACAAAGAAAGACCTGTACTGGCTTTAGTTTCCTCTTCAGTCACGCCAAATAAACTGCAGGAGACACAAACACAGATACTAACAGAGCAACTTTACCAGCAGTAACAGGTAAGAAACACCTTTAAAACTCTAAACATTGTTAATCGGGCTTTAACTTTCTGTCATTGTTATTAATTTGCAGTTTAGGCAAGAATAATAAATGTTTTTTACCTTCTGTTACATTATTCTAAAGCAAAACACCAAAAAAGCGTGAACAACAAACTGCAGTACCGTCAGTTTAGCATCTGTTAGTGACAGTTTTCCAACAGATTATTTTCTGACATATTATAAAGTTGTTTTGAACTCACAGGCAAAGTGATTATTAAAAGCAGATCAAACTGTAGACACTGTAGATATTTTTAAAAAAGAAAATTATTTCTCAGTTTATTGGTTCTGAGCTTGTTTGAGCTTCAGATTAACTGGATTCCTCAATTTCAGCTGCACATACTGCATCTCTGTGCATGTACAGTCTTCTATTGTGAACCAGAGCTGTTGAGTTTAACTTACAACCTACTTTAAATGTATTAAATCAATTTATCTTGATTATTCCTGTATTTACTTCACAAATTTGATGAGAAAAACCATCATTAAGCCCACTGCTGAGGGGTGGTCTGGAGATCTTTAGTGTATAATGTTTGAATACTGATTTATTTGATATTTTCTCTGAGCAAACACTTTTTTTGCATTCTCTGGTTTGAATGAGTGTGTCTCAAGTGATGTTGTGAAATGGCCTGTTGTGTCCAGTAAAATTCTGAGAATTTTAGCTGTGCCTGTTATCATATATTTATATTTCAGAGCTCAGTATCACCTGTTTTTTTAAACACCTGCACCTGTTCCTAACCACAGCTCATTTTCCCTATTTCATAAAGAACCATTCTCCTCTCAGGCTCTGGAGATTGACCTCTTCCTCCTCTGGTTCTTTCCTCTTGTTATTTAATCCAGTCTCTATCAGTAGCTGCTCTGTTTTTCTCTCATGTATCTGCCTCACCTACACTGTGTTTATTTTCCTGTGACATTAAACTTTGTTTACCTACTCTGTTTCCTGCTGGGTTTGAAATCTGCATAAATGTCCAGTCTCTGGAGCCCCTTTACTAAACAGGAAGCAAATGTGACAGACAGCTCATACATTATTATATACTATAGCCTGTGTGTCAAACACAAGACCAAGTCAGGCCCGTGACGTAGTCCTGTGAAATTATTTTAATTTTCTGTTCTTATTAGCCTGTTTCACCCTGATATGCACTACAGTCCCCAGCATGCACTGCACCATCAATCTATGAGCCAGCAGTTCCACAAAAAGAAAAGATGCCCGGTGTCTAGTTCAAACAAGAAGGCAGTTTATAGGAGCTACCTAGAACAATGTTTTTTTATTTTGAAATATTTTTGAATAAGTATTCAAGTTCTATTTTGCTGTTCCAGTTTTGGCATATTTGAATAAATAATGGCAAAATGTTAAAACACAGCTGGCCCACAGATTTCCTGAGATTTTTTAATATGGCCCTTTTAGTGGTTGGGTTTGACACCTCTGTACTACAGTACCTGATCTAATAAAAAGTGTAATTTGTTTATACAAAAATAGTGTAAAATATTAATATTTATTAAAGTCACAGTCTGGAAAGTGTAATGACACTTACTTTTGTTTGCTTTGTACTACAATACTGATACTACAGAGGAACACCATTCACATTCACTTACTGAATCCGAATCATCTGTTAAATAAAGTTAAAATAAAAGTTCTTTATCCATCGTTTACAAATAAAACATGAAAATTATTTGTTTTTGTGTTTGATTGATGGTCAGTTCTTCCATTCATGATTTCAAAACAGAGACATATCACCTTTCTTTTCCTCAAAGGAGCAATAAGCCATGTTTACAACCAAAAATAATGAAACACAGTGCATTAACATGCACTTAATAATCCAATAACTGCAGAGTATCAGATGTTGTCAGTAACCCAATCAACATGTTTACATGCATCTGAGTAATCAGACAACAGGGAAGATTCTGGGTCTACATGAGTCAGGCAGTAATCAGATTTCTGATTAGCAACCAGCCAATAAACTCAGACAGAGGATGTAATGTAAAGTAAAACTCAAACTTTACGCCGCATGGTTATGAAACCATAAACGTGCATCATCTAGAAGATGAAGAATATTTAAATTCTTCATTTCGTCAAGAATGTATTTGGTTTCAGTGTTGCTATAAAAGTGTTTTGCTGCCATCTGCCAACGCTGCTTGCTTATTTCCGGTACCGCGATCTGTTTTTGCACATGCACAGACTGAGAAATCCGAAAGAAATCAGAGTAACACAGAGTATTGTGTTTTTAAAGTAAGTTCAGCACAGACTCAGCTTAATAGTACTATTTACCACTTGATAAGCTGATTTAGGCCTTCAGAATATCCTAATTATTCTTTTAATGCTGGTAACAGTTTCTGATAAGGACATATGGCAGCTTCTTGTTCGAATTTTCCCATTCCACCTTAAATGGTTCAGCAGTTACATTCTAGCTCCTGAGGCGTTATAATAACGGCTGCCCTATTTAAGGTGGAATGGGAAAATTCGAACAAGGAGCAGCAAATAAGAAGCTGACTTCAGCTTCTTAGTTTTAATGCTGGTAGTATTTTTTTGATAAGGTGATTTAAGCTATAAAAATATTGTATCGACATGCAACTGGCTGGCAATGGCTCTGATGAGCTCCGGAGGCGTGACCCTGCAAAGGCTCATCGTAGGCATGTGCCCTACTAAAAAGGGACTAAAGCCTGTTTAACTGCCATTGTTTTTCAGTTATAAATGTTTTAAATGTCATGTTTTAATGTGTCAATCTGTGTTGGGAAGTGGGGTTATTAGTGGGGGTAGTTGTGTTGGGGGTTGAACACCGACAGGGTGAAGCTGATGGCAAATGGTGACCTACCCCACAGGTTGAATGCTCTGTATGTGCCTTTTCTGCTGGTGTGTTCAATGAAAAGCACTTCTTACCGCAGAAGCATAGCCTCCCCAGACGGTCAGCTGAGGACATCAGTCAAGATGATTCCACAGCAGATAGTTGGATTCTGCCCGGGTGTTTTGGGATTGCTGGGGCAGCTCTTTACTTCCTGCTGATGTCACAGTATTTTACCCAGAGGTTTTATGTGTGAAGTAACTATGAATATGGTAGGACATATTAACCTTACTTTCGTGTCGTGATGACAACTTGATACGCAGCAGTATTAGTTTGCATTTAACAATTTTAGTATTACGACTCTTTAACATCCTCATTATTCGAATGATCCAGTGATATACAGAGACTACAGAATGACACAAGACTTCACTGGTCTGCTGCTCCTTTAACAGCTTTCAAACTGGAGCTTTTCTACTCCAATCTGGAGCCTCTCTGTTTGGAGCTTTTTATAGGTGGTTCATGTTACTGTAATTAAATGTAATGTCTCTTACACAGCATGATCTAATGCACTGGTCTTAAAGACTGTTGAGGTGTTTAATGTGTGAACTGTGTCTCTTGTTCTCCACAGTCATGAGTTCAGCTCTGTATCTGATCCTGCTTTTCTCAGGTCAGTGTAGCTTCATGATCATCTGTAAAACTCTCTGCTGCTTCATTACTGTACTGTCATGCTGATGAGAGCTTTCATCTCTACAGCTCTGTGGACTCTCTCCTTCTGTGGGACTCGTCAGTTTCATGTGGTGAATGAAACGAAGAACTGGACCGACGCTCAGAAATACTGCAGAGAAAATTTCACTGACCTGGCCATTATTGAGAGCCAACAGGAGATGAACGCTGTAATAGCTGTTCTCAACGGGACAGCAGGCAATTTCTGGATTGGAATGAAGCAGAATTACACTGTAAGCAAATTGCAGGAACTTGTACCATTCATAAAACTACTTGTGATGTAGGTTGTGAAAAAATCTCTTTACTTTATAAAACATTATTAGCTATTAAGATTTAATAATTAATCTGTGGTCACAGCATATAATTGTGCATCACTTACTCTTTGTTTGCTATATTACAGGTATCAATAATAATAATAATAATAATAATAATTATTATTATTATTATTATTATAATTATTGTTATTATTATTATTATGTTATATTATGTTTTATTTCTATAACACTTCATGATGGTGGCAGTATCTGCAGATCTAAAATCTCACACTGGAGCATAAACAGACAGATAATCCATGATGTAAGCAGTGCTATAAGGTCATTTTGAGCTTTAAAAACTAGTAGCAGAACTTCAAAATCTATCCTGAATGATACAGGCAGCCAGTGCAGTCCTTTTAAAATGGGAGTGATATGAGCTCTTTAATTTGCTTTGGTTAGGATGCGCACTGCTGCTTTTTGTATGAGCTGTAAGGGATGGATTGCTTTCTTAAGAAGTCCAGTAAGAAGACCATTACAGTGATCAACTCTGCTTGTAACAAATACACGAACAAGTTTTTTTGTGTCTCTCTGAGAGAGAAAAGGTCGATCTTTAGTGATATTTCTCAAATAATAAAAAGCTACTTTAGTGTTTGTGTTTACATGCCGGATAAAACAGAGCTCAGAGTTTAAGATCACACTCAAATTTCATGCCTCAGGTTTGGTATACGAAGCTAAAGAACCAAGTTTCTCATAAATCATTTTTCTCTGAGTTTCTGTACCAACCATCAATAATTCAGTTTTTTCATGATTTAATTGTCATCAACTGAGAAATATCTGACACACAGCTGGTTAGTCTGTCTACAGAGTCTTGATCATCAGAAGGAATAGAAATGTATAACAGGGTGTCGGCAGCATAGCTATGAAAAATTATATTATGTTTTCTAATGACATCACCAAGAGGTAGCATGTACAAAGAGAAAAGGCCCTAAGACTGAACCTTGAGGAACTCCACAAGAAATATGACTTAAACCATTCTAACACTGTGCCCGAGAGGCTGACCCAGCTTTCAAGATGCTTGTGGTCAACAGTATCAAAAGCTGCACTAAGATCTAATAAAACCAAAATAGAAGGATTTCGTGCATCAGCGCTGAGCCTGAGGTCATTCAGGCTTCACCAGGGCAGTTTTAAAAGTGTCTGGAAAAACACCTGCTGACAGAGGACAATTTACAATAGTAAAAACCATCTTAAGGAATGAAGTAGGAACAGGGTCAAGATCACATGTGGATGAACTTAGCTTGTTTAAAATATTTGTGAGCTCCTGATAATTGATAACAGAGAAAGATGTCATTACTGATGTAGGAGGCTTTTCAGGAACATTATAGGAGCTTGTTTCAGTCTGCTGAGCTACACCCTGTCATATCAGGTCTATTTTATTTTGAAAATGAATTGCGAACCCTTCTCAGATTTTAGAAGATAAATCACCATGAGACGCACTAGCAGACAAGTTGTGGTTAATTAGTCGGTCTATGGTGGAAAAAAGGATTTTGGTATTATCTTTGTGTCTGTTAATGACACTGGAGAGGTATGACTGTCTGGATATCTTCATAGCACTATTAAAAATTGAGATCTGACCTTTGAGAATATCATAATGTACCTGCAGTTTAGTTTTCCTCCATAAGCGCTTTGATTTCCATTGTTTAACATTGTTTAACATTATTTTTTCTCTTTTACAGGTATCTGAAACCTTCGTCCAATCTCACCTATATCCCCCTGGACCTCAGGTAAGTAGAAGTTTAGATTTATTCCATTGAATGAATCTAATAAATCTCTGTTTTGCTAGTTTTTGTGGCTTTTTTCATTTTCAATTCGCTGTTGCATTTTATTCGCAATGAATTACAACCACCGACCTTTGAAAGTCACTTCTTCTCTCATTGGATTCGCGAGAACCCTGGATAGGACTCAATAGCCGCAAAGCTAAAGCTAAAGCTACCCCATGCAAGCACCACTCATCTCCAATTCACATGTCCAACAGGTTTGCCCCACTCAGTGAGGCACCCTCTGAGACGCCAGTTGAAAGAGCTCTGGTTATGGTGATTCTATTTTACGGCGCGTGAAAATAGTTTCTCCCTTAGGGGCGCCAGTAGCAGTTACTCTGCGTTGCTCTGAGAGAGAAAAGCCTGAACTTTAGCGATATTCCTCAAATAATAAAAAGCTACTTTAGTGTTTGTGTTTACATGCAGGATAAAACAGAGCTCAGAGTCTAAGACCACATCCAGATTTGAAACTAAAGAACCAAGTTTCTCATAAATCATTTTTCTGTGATTTTCTGTACTAACGATCAATAATTCAGTTTTTTCATGATTTAATTGCAGAACATTTTGTGACATGCACTGAGAAATATCTGACACACAGCTGGTCAGTCTGTCTGCAGAGTCTTGATCATCAGAAGGAATAGAAATGTATAACGGGATGTCATAAGCATAGCTATAAAAATGTATACTATATTTCCTAATGACATCACCTAGAGGGAGCATGTGCAAAGAGAAAAGCAAAGGCCCTAAGACTAAACCTTGAGGAACCCCACAAGAAATATGACTTAAACCATTCTAAAACTGTGCCCGAGAGGCTGACCCAGCTTTCAAGATGCTTGTGGTCAACAGTATCAAAAGCTGCACTAAGATCTAATAAAACCAAAATAGAAGGATTTCGTGCATCAGCGCTGAGCCTGAGGTCATTCATAACATGAACCAGTGCTGTTTCTGTACTATGGTTAGAACGAAAACCTGACGGAAACTTCTCATATAAATTTTTTGATATTAGATACGCATTTAGTTGTTTGAAAACAACTTTTTCTAAGACGTTACTTAAAATGGTAGGTTTGAAATTGGTCTGAAATTATTTAGTATAGAAGGATCCATGATACTCTTTTTTAGCAGAGGCTTCACCAGGGCAGTTTTAAAAGCATCTGGAAAAACACCTGCTGACAGAGGACAATTTACAATAGTAAAAACCATCTTAAGGAATGAAGTAGGAACAGGGTCAAGATCACATGTGGATGAACTTAGCTTGTTTAAAATATTTGTGAGTTCCTGATAATTGATAACAGAGGAAGATGTCATTACTGATGTAGGAGGCTTTTCAGGAACATTATAGGAGCTTGTTTCAGTCTGCTGAGCTACACCCTGTCGTATCAGGTCTATTTTATTTTGAAAATGAATTGCGAACCCTTCTCAGATTTTAGAAGATAAATCACCATGAGACGCACTAGCAGACAAGTTGTGGTTAATTAGTCGGTCTATAGTGGAACAAAGGATTTTGGTATTATCTTTGTGTCTATTAATTCCACTGGAGAGGTATGACTGTCTGGATATCTTCATAGCACTATTAAAAATTGAGATCTGATCTTTGAGAATATCATAATGTACCTGCAGTTTAGTTTTCCTCCATAAGCGCTTTGATTTCCATTGTTTAACATTATTTTTTCTCTTTTAAAGGTACCAGAAACCTTCGTCCAATCTCACTTAGATCCCCCTGGACCTCAGGTAAGTAGAAGTTTAAATTTATTCCATTGAATGAATCTAATAAATCTCTGTTTTGCTAGTTTTTGTGGCTTTTTTCATTTTCAATTCGCTGTTGCATTTTATTCGCAATGAATTACAACCACCGACGTTTGAAAGTCACTTCTTCTCTCATTGGATTCGCGAGACCCCTGGACAGGACTCAATAGCCGCAAAGCTAAAGCTAAAGCTACCCCATGCAAGCACCACTCATCTCCAATTCACATGTCCAACAGGTTTGCCCCACTCAGTGAGGCACCCTCTGAGACGCCTGTTGAAAGAGCTCTGGTTATGGTGATTCTATTTTACGGCACGTGAAAATAGTTTCTCCCTTAGGGGCGCCAGTAGCAGTTACTCTGCGTTGCTCTGAGAGAGAAAAGCCTGAACTTTAGCGATATTCCTCAAATAATAAAAAGCTACTTTAGTGTTTGTGTTTACATGCAGGATAAAACAGAGCTCAGAGTCTAAGACCACATCCAGATTTGAAACTAAAGAACCAAGTTTCTCATAAATCATTTTTCTCTGATTTTCTATACCAACGATCAATAATTCAGTTTTTTCATGATTTAATTGCAGAAAATTTTGTGACATGCACTGAGAAATATCTGACACACAGCTGGTCAGTCTGTCTGCAGAGTCTTGATCATCAGAAGGAATAGAAATGTATAACGGGATGTCATAAGCATAGCTATAAAAATGTATACTATATTTCCTAATGACATCACCTAGAGGGAGCATGTGCAAAGAGAAAAGCAAAGGCCCTAAGACTAAACCTTGAGGAACCCCACAAGAAATATGACTTAAACCATTCTAAAACTGTGCCCGAGAGGCTGACCCAGCTTTCAAGATGCTTGTGGTCAACAGTATCAAAAGCTGCACTAAGATCTAATAAAACCAAAATAGAAGGATTTCGTGCATCAGCGCTGAGCCTGAGGTCATTCATAACATGAACCAGTGCTGTTTCTGTACTATGGTTAGAACGAAAACCTGACGGAAACTTCTCATATAAATTTTTTGATATTAGATACGTATTTAGTTGTTTGAAAACAACTTTTTTCGTTACTTAAAATGGTAGGTTTGAAATTGGTCTGAAATTCTTTAGTATAGAAGGATCCATGATACTCTTTTTTAGCAGAGGCTTCACCCGGGCAGTTTTAAAAGCGTCTGGAAAAACATCTGCTGACAGAGGACAATTTACAATAGTTAAAACCATCTTAAGGAATGAAGTAGGAACAGGGTCAAGATCACATGTGGATGAACTTAGCTTGTTTAAAATATTTGTGAGCTCCTGATAATTGATAACAGAGAAAGATGTCATTACTGATGTAGGAGGCTTTTCAGGAACATTATAGGAGCTTGTTTCAGTCAGCTGAGCTACACCCTGTCATATCACGTCTATTTTATTTTGAAAATGAATTGCGAACCCTTCTCAGATTTTAGAAGATAAATCACCATGAGACGCACTAGCAGACAAGTTGTGGTTAATTAGTCGATCTATAGTGGAACAAAGGATTTTGGTATTATCTTTGAGTCTATTAATGACACTGGAGAGGTATGACTGTCTGGAAATCTTCATAGCTTTATTATAGATCTGATCTTTGAGAATATCATAATGTACCTGCAGTTTAGTTTTCCTCCATAAGCGCTTTGATTTCCATTGTTTAACATTATTTTTTCTCTTTTAAAGGTACCTGAAACCTTCGTCCAATCTCACACAGATCCCTCTAGACCTCAGGTAAGTAGAAGTTTAGATTTATTCCATTGAATGAATCTAATAAATCTCTGTTTTGCTAGTTTTTTTGTTGCTTTTTTCATTTTCAATTCGCTGTTGCATATTACTTGCAATTGATTACAACCACCGACCTTTGAAAGTTCTTCTCTCATTGGATTCATGAGACCCCTGGACAGGACTCAATAGCTGCAAAGCTAAAGCTAAAGCTACCCCATGCAAGTTTTAAATCTCCAATCTCCAATTCACGTGTCCAACAGGTTTGTCCCACTCAGTGAGGCACCCTCTGAGACGCCTGTTGAAAGAGCTCTGGTTATGGTGATTCTATTTTACGGCACGTGAAAATAGCTTCTCCCTTAGGGGCGCCAGTAGCAGTTAGCAGTATACCTGGAGCCAGGGCGCCGGACATTAGAGGGAACCTGAAGCTAGCTAGCTGTAGATATTCAAGGATAGTCATTCATGTAGGTACTAATGATGTTCGTCTGCAGCAGTCAGAAATAAGTAAAGATAACATTAAAGAGGTATGTAAATTAGCCCAGACGATGTCCAATGCTGTAATGTGCTTTGGCCCCATCTCAGTTCGACGTGGCGCCCAAATCTACAGCGGGTTATGGTCGCTGAATTGCTGGTTGTCCAAGTGGTGCTCAGAAAACAATGTGGAAATTTGTAGATAATTTGTCTACTTTTGAGGGCAAGCCTGGTCTTTTGAGTTGGGCTGGTATCCACCCCTCACGGGAGGGTGCTGCTCTCATTTCAACTAGCATAGCTCATACTCTCTCAGATAGCTGTCAGTGTAGGACAGTCAGTCGCTGACAAACCAGGGCCAAGGCCAGACAGCAGACAAACAGGCTAAACCAATCATCTGCGAGCTGCCTTGAGATGCCACATAGGTTCCACCATTGAGACTGTGTCTGTTCCCCAAATAAAACAAAGCATCAAAAATCCTCGAAACATTTGCTAGTAACTTGATTAATATCAGACCAGTTATACCCGTTTGCAGTGACAGCACCTTTGGTCTAAAACTAGGACTTCTCAACATAAGATCTCTTACATCTAAGGCCATCGTTTGAAATGAAATTATTACCGATCATGATTTTGATGCTCTGTGCCTCACAGAAACGTGGATTAGACCCAATGAATACATACATACATACATACATACATACATACATCATCTAAACCGCTTATCCTTCTGGGTCGCAGTGGGGTGCTGGAGCCTATCCCAGCTGTCATTAGGCGGAAGGCAGGATACACCCTGGACAGGTCGCCAGTCCATCGCAGACCCAATGAATACTTTAGTCTAAATGAAGCCCCCCACAGGCTACAGATATGCGCACTGCCCCGTTTAAGCGGCTGTGGTGGAGGTATAGCAACCATTCATTCTAAAGCTTTAGGCGTGACCCAGAAAGTAGAATACAAATTCTCTTCTTTTTCTTAATATAAGTGATCGAATAACAAATAAGAATTCCTAAGAATTTCCTTTTGACTTTCTATCAAGTAAAAAATGTTTTCAAATAAATAATAATTTCTGAGATTAATAATTGTGTGAGATTTTAGTATCCAGTTTGATAAACCACAAGATCCACTAAGTAAGGCATTTATATCTATCTTACACTCTGTAGGTTTCACTCAAACTATAAAAGGGCTTACACATTATTGATCACCTTATTGTCCATGGAGCTAAGAGGTGTACTGCAGTTCTGGTGATGTGTTTGGCCATCCTGACATCATCACAGCAAACTTAAATCTATTAGGCATTATATGAGCACTGAGAGGTCAGTGTTTAAACAGTTCACTGATCAGGTATTAATGTGTTTCTAGAGCTGGATCTGGTCAGATGGGAGTAACCCCTCATACACATACTGGAACACTGGAGAGCCAAACAACGGTGGGGGTGATTACTGTGTGCAGTTATTGAAGGACTCTACATACAAATGGAATGATGACTACTGCACTTCCCCAAATCCCTTTATCTGCTATAAAGGTGAGTAATATAGAAAATAAATTTCAGGACAAGTGTTATTAGTCCAATTAAATAACTTTCTTGTTCAGTAGATAGTCTAGTTCAGTATCTCAGTGCAAGTAGATCTGAATAGTGAATAAATTATAAATAGTTGTGGGGAGGGTGATAAACAACACAGAGAAAGAACACTAAAGTACAACTGCCTGTATATGTTAAACATGAGAAGTATTATTTGATGTAATGTTTAATTCTTTGTTCTGACCCTCCCGCAGAGCTTCCACTCATCCTGATTAATCAGACCAAGACGTGGAGAGAAGCTCTGAGATACTGCAGAGAGAATCATGTGGATCTGGTCTCTGTTCACACTGAGGAGATTCAGCACTGGGTGGAAACAGCTGTTTATTATGCCTCCACTGCTAATGTGTGGATGGGTCTGCGTCACACCTGCACCCTGAGCTTCTGGTTCTGGGTGAGTGGAGTGTCGATCTGCTACCAGAACTGGGCTCCGGGGAACGGGACAGCGGTGGAAGACTGCAGTGGAGGAGAAAGAACAGGAGCGGTGCAGTCTGGAAGTAAGAAGTGGGTCAGTCTGCCAGAGAATCAGAGACTCAACTTCATCTGTATCATCAAAGGTAAATCTGAGAGTTATAAGCAACCTTATTTTCAAAAATATGGGGACTCTGTGCAAAATGTGAAGTAAACAAAATGCAATGATGTGAAAATAATTTAAACCCTAAATGTAATTAAAAGTAGTACAAAGACAGTTGGAACTAGAGAAGGTTATTGTTTTTTTAAAAGTACATGCTCATTTTAATTTGATGCCAGCAACACAAAAGTATGTTTACCACTGTGTTGCATCACTTCTTTTTTTTAACAATATTTTGTATTAGTATTATTTTGTAAGCATTTGGGAACTAAGGAGACCAACTGCTGCAGTTTTGAAAATGAAATGTTATTATTGCTTGATACAGGATTTCAACAGTTTAGGTCTCCTTTGTTGTATTTGTTGTGTCCTAATGCACCAGATGTTTTCAAAGTGTGACAGGTGCAGGATGTGATTTGGCACTGTTTATATGAAATACGCAAGGCCTTCCCTGAAAAAGACCTCATCTGGATGGCAGCATATGGTGCTCCAAAACCTGTACATACCATTCAGCATTAATGAAGCCTAACTTCATTCATAACAGATGTGCTAGTTATCCATCCCATGTGCATTAATGCACCTCCATACCCTCATGGATGCTGGCTTTTGAACTGTGCACTGATAACAACCCAGATGTTCCCTCTCCTCTTTTGCTCGGAGGTTACAGCATCCATGATTTCCAAAAAGAATTTCAAAATTTGATTCATTGGACTACATGACACTTTTCCACTTTGCCTCAGTCCATCTTAAATGAACTCAGGCCCAGAGAAGGCGGCAGCGTTTCTGGATCCTATTTATACATGGTTTCTTCTTTGCATGGCAGAGTTTTAACTTGTTTAATTTGTGGATGCAACAACGAACCGTATTCACAGACAATGGTTTTCGGAGGTGTTGCTGAGCCTATGCAATGATTTCCACTACAGAATCAGGTCTGTTTTTAATGCAATGCCGTCAGAGGGCCTGAAGTTCACGACCAGCCAAACACTTTCACAGAGTAGTGAACCCCTCCCCATCTTTACTTCTGAAAGATGCTCGTTTATATCCAAAATGTTACTGACTTGTTGCCAAATTAAACTAATGAGTTGTGAGATGTTCCAGCAGGTGTTTCTTTAGCATTAAACAACTTTATCAGTCTTTTTTGCCCCGTCTTAACTTTTTTTTAACCAAGTTGCTGACATCAAATTCAAAATAGGCACATATTTTTAAAAAAACAATATATTTTCTCAGTTTCAACATTTGAAATGTTGTCTTTGTGCTGTTTTCAGTTAAATGTTGTGTTTAAATGATTTGCACATCATTGCATACTGGTTTTATTTACATTGTGCACAGCATCCCAATTTTGTTGGAAACAGAGTTGTATTTGTTAACAGCAAAATGTTACCTAAAAAACAACACTGATTCATGATGTTTGCTTCTTTTTAGAGTTCTAGAAGTGGATGCAGGCTGTTCAAATGGATCCTCATAATTCAGGTTCATGCTGATGTTTGACGGCAATTTCTTCATCAACATACGCATTCTTTGGCACAAATACACAACAATTCAGTTCAATTAAACACATTCATATATAACTGAGATTACTATGCCTTCTTTTCAACAATATCTAAAGACCAGTAGTGACCCATGACTGTTAGCACTAGGCCTGAGCATGTTGGGGGATTTGAAGCTTGTAAAAGACGTTCCATGTTTTTATTTGACGCTTTCAAGAAACATTTGTATACATTTGCATATATAAGGTCACTCTTAAAGTGACTCTTTCAATAAAAAAGACCTGACATAGAGCTGTCAATGCTGTTTTTCATCTCTAACAACTGGCTGAAACCTGGCTAGACTAATTTTTGTACTCAAAGTGACTAATCCAGGGCTTCCAGAAGGCCAAGGCTGTGTCAGAGTGTTTGAAACTTTCTTACCTGTTTGCATTCTTTGATTTTTTCTGATCTGTATCTTATGGTTGTTAGTTATCTTCTTGTAATTACCTGTGTTTAGTGACAGCTGTGTGCACTACTGTGATGTATGTTTGGCTGTTTAAGTAGCCAGCAAGTCTAGGACTGTTAATTACCTTCTGTTTATGCGAAGAGTAGTTAAAATTATCTGCCCCCTGCTGCTTTCTGGGTGGGTCAGTTGGTTACCTGGCCAACAAGTACATTGCTACAGTGATTGGCTGATTCCCCTGTCATTTTTTTAAATAAGGTCGGTAGTTAATGTACTGTGTAAGGCTTTCTGTTCACCTCCTGAAGTCCCACCCAATGGGAGAACTCTCATGGCTTTATTTAAAATGTCAAGATTTGAACAATTTTGTTTCTAACTACTGTAAAACTTTACAATGAAATATAAATAGTGCTACAATACTTACAGAGTTTCAATAAACCATTATACATGTTGATTATATTGAACAAAAATTAACCAGAAATATCAAGCATTTATGTATTGATTCCCTTGTTCCATGAAGACTTAGAAGGCCCTGAGGTTTCCCACAGCTTAAGACAGTAGATATGTTTTTTTAAGATCATATTCTCTAGCTTTTCCCTCTTACATATGACTGACTTACTGTTTCATCATTGCATCAAGTACAAAAACACATGAATAGACACAACACAGGAAAAGCTTTCAATCTATTAATGTCCTTTTCCTCTTGCAATGTTTATTCAATCTAAGCTTGTTGTAGAATTTACACCAATCAGGCATAACATTATGACCACCTCCTTGTTTCTACGCTCATTGTCCATTTTATCAGCTCCACTTACTATATAGGTGCACTTTGTAGTTCTACAGTTACAGACTGTAGTCCGTCTGTTTCTCTGCATACTTTGTTAGCCCCTTTTTATCCTGTTCTTCAGTGGTCAGGACCCCCATGGACCCTCACAGAGCAGGTACTATTTGGGGGGTGGGTCATTCTCAGCACTGCAGTAACACTGACGTTGTGGTGGTGTGATAGTGGATAGTGTGTGTTGTGCTGGTCTGAGTGGATCAGACACAGCAGTGCTGCTGGAGTTTTTAAACACCTCAGTGTCACTGCTGGACTGAGAATAGTCCACCAATCACAGCTGTGTCTGATCCACTCGTACCAACACAACACACACTAACACACCACCACCACGTCAGTGTTACTGCAGTGCTGAGAATGATCCACCACCCAAATAGTACCTGCTCTGTGAGGGTTCATGGGGGTCCTGACCACTGAAGAACAGGGTAAAAGGGGGATAACAAAGTATGCAGAGAAACAGATGGACTACAGTCTGTAACTGTAGAACTACAAAGTGCACCTATATAGTAAGTGGAGCTGATAAAATGGACAATGAGCGTAGAAACAAGGAGGTGGTCATAATGTTATGCCTGATTGGTGTAAATTGCATCTCACAAAGGTTGCAGTTGCCCAAGCCAGTATCTCTACCATTGAGGCGTTTGAAGACTGAGAGCAAGTGGGAGGCCAGTAAGGGCCTCGGACGACCAGTGCTGTTCCTGATTTAAACCTGAGTGATGCTCACTCGAAACCTTCTTACTGTTGTCAGATGACTCCAACCAGAGTTTAATGAAATCTTCATGACGGTTCATTGTGCTCCGGGGATGCTGGGAAGGTATCTAGGTGGTAAATAGCTGCTGCTCTTATAGTGGCAGTTAACTACACAGGAGCGTCTATGTAGCTAAGCACTAGCCACTGTTTGTGTTTTGTGTTTTTTCCATTGCTTTGTTTTATTTTGTCTGTGGCCGTTTTGCTTTATGGTTCTGGAATTTGTGTTCCATATGGTCATATTGTAATTTCTTTTGTTTGGTTTATTTTGGCCTGCTATTACCATCAGGATTAAGTAACAGCTTTATAATGCTTTTTTTAACTTTGCCTTTTAAATTAGAATTATAAAATTATGAAGTCTTTAACATTGCAATCTGCAATCTGCATTCCCCTTGCTGATACGGTTAAAACCCATTGGTACAGAGTGAGTCTTGTATAGGGATTGAGGATTTGTGTTAAGACTTGACAACAATTAAGCTTTTATTTGTTTAGTTTTTATTAAATTGTGTTATAAAGTGTTTATCCTGTTGCACATCTGCCATATGACATTCATTTATTTGAACAGGCCTCGGGGGGAAAAGAATAAATGGTGTTAGTGTTTAACAGTCTGTTTTGCATATAATTTTAACTCATATGTTGCTCTCATCCTTTAATTGAGAGTGGCGTAGTCAGATATTTTGGGCTTATAAGGGGACAAGCTTACAAATGTTACTTATTTGTGTATTGACAGTATCAATAATAGCTCTCTGCATTGTGTCTTACAGTGGACCAAAAACTGTTGAATCTACTCACCTACTGTAAACTACAGAGGTTTACAAAGATGTTTGTTTCAGGTCTTTCAACGTCAGACACCCTCGCTAAGGTGACCCAGCCGGTGTTGATCAGACTCCAGTCTGCGTCCCAGCAGTCCACGGTTCACCCCTCGTAATCCAAGGCAACCTGCTGCCTATGATAGTTTACTCCTGTTTACTGACTGTAATTCAGCTTTACACTAATTATTTCAGGAAATAACTTGTATGAGAGATGGAGAAGTCAAGTCATGAGAGATACCACCTTAAATAAACACCTTTGACCCTCAAGCACTCACAGTTCATCATTCCTAGTTCTTGTTTGACATTCTGTATTTGCCTTTATTTCCCAAAAATTATGGAGCCCAGTTGGTAAAATCCTGCATAAATAAAAATAATGCATGGCCACGACTCAGTTAGGCATGGGAATGAGATACTTAAGTCGTGGCCATGACTTAGTAAGGTGTGGGAACGAGATCATAATGCATGGCCATGAGTTGGTAAGGCATGGGAATTAAGCCTTGACCGCAGCTTAATAAGGCATGATTTTATTCCCACACCTTACTAAATCATGGCCACAATTGAATTATCTCATTCCCACACCTTACTAAATCGTGGCCATGCATTATTTTTATTTTTACAGGATGTCATCAGCAGGGCTCCGTATAAAAACAGAACAACTCTGATTTGTGAAAAAGTATTTGAGACTAAACATTAATTTTTCAAACAGATCCTTTTACATTTCTAAAAAGATTTGCTTCTCATGTAACGTATGAATCTACTGTACGTTCATTCATTTGCATTTGTTTACTGACTCTTCATGTAAATTATCAACAAGAACGCTGGAGAGGCACAAAAACAAAGAAAGACCTGTACTGGCTTTAGTTTCCTCTTCAGTCACGTCTAATAAACTGCAGGAGACACAAACACAGATATTAACAGAGCAACTTTACCAGCAGTAACAGGTAAGAAACACCTTTAAGACTCTAAACATTGTTAATTGGGCTTTAACTTACTGTCAGAGTGAAGGGGTTTGTTATTAATTTGTACTTTAGACAAGAATAATCAATGTTTACCTTCTTCCATTTTTCTAAAGCAAAACACCAAAAAAGCGTGAACAACAAACTGCAGTACCGTCAGTTTAGCATCTGTTAGTGACAGTTTTTCAAACAGATTAAGTCTAGTCCTGGACTACACAGCAGTCTGAATTGAGATTCTCATACTTTAATTATTTTCTGACATATTATAAAGTTGTTTTGAACTCACAGGCAAAGTGATATTAAAAGCAGATCAAACTGTAGACACTGTAGATATTTTTAAAAAGGAAATTATTTCTCAGTTTATTGGTTCTGAGCTTGTTTGCACTTCAGATTAACTGGATTCCACACTTTCAGCTGCACATACCGCATAACTGTGCGTGTACAGTCTTCTATTGTAAACCAGAGCTGCTGAGTTTAACTTACAACCTACTTCAAGCGTATTAAATGAGTTTACCCTGATTATTCCTGTATTTATTTTACAAATTTAATAAGACAAACCATCATTAAGCCCACTGCTGAGGGGTGGTCTGGAGATTTTTTAGTGTATAATGTTTGAATACTGATTTATTTGATATTTTCTCTGAGCAAACACTTTTTTGCATTCTCTGGTTTGAATGAGTGTGTCTCAAGTGATGTTGTGAAATGGCCTGTTGTGTCCAGTAAAATTCTGAGAATTTTAGCTGTGCCTGTTATCATATATTTATATTTCAGAGCTCAGTATCACCTGTTTTTTTAAACACCTGCACCTGTTCCTCATCCCAGCTCATTTTCCCTGTTCCATAAAGAACCATTCTCCTCTCAGACTCTGGAGGTTGACCTCTTCCTCCTCTGGTTCTTTCCTCTTGTTTATTTCAGTCTCTATCAGTAGCTGCTCTGTTTTTCTCTCATGTATCTGCCTCACCTACACTGTGTTTATTTTCCTGTGACATTAAACTTTGTTTACCTACTGTGTTTCCTGCTGGTTTTGAAATCTGCATAAATGTCCAGTCTCTGGAGCCCCTTTACTAAACAGGAAGCAAATGTGACAGACAGCTCATACATTATTATATACTATAGCCTGTGTGTCAAACACAAGACCAAGTCAGGCCCGTGACGTAGTCCTGTGAAATTATTTTAACTTTCTGTTCTTATTAGCCTGTTTCACCCTGATATGCACTACAGTCCCCAGCATGCACTGCACCATCAATCTATGAGCCAGCAGTTCCACAAAAAGAAAAGATGCCTGTTGTCTAGTTCAAAGAAAAAGGCAGTTTATAGGAGCTACCTAGAACAATGTTTTTTATTTTGAAATATTTTTGAATAAGTATTCAAGTTATATTTTGCTGTTCCAGTTTTGCCATATTTTGAATAAAAAATGGCAAAATGTTAAGTAAAAATAAAAATAAAAACACAACTGGCCCACAGACTTGCTGAGATTTTATAATATGGCCCTTTTAGTGGTTGGGTTTGACAGCTCTGTACTACAGTAGCTGATCTAATAAAAAGTGTATTTTGTTTATACAAAAATAGTGTAAAATATTAACACAGTCTGGAAAGTGTAATGACACTTTTGTATGCTGTGTACTACAATACTGATACTACAGAGGAACACCATTCACATTCACTTACTGAATCCTACTCATCTGTTTAACTTGATTTCATAATAAAAGTTCTTTATCCATCGTTTACAAATAAAACAAATTATTTGATTAAAGGTCAGTTCTTCTATTCATGATTTCAAAACAGAGACATATCACCTTTCCTTTCCTCAAAGGAGCAATAATCGATGTTTACAACCAAAAATAATGAAACACCAATCCAATAACTGAGTATCAGATGTTGTCAGTAATCCGATCAACATGTTTACATGCACTTGAGTAATCAGACAACGGGGAAGATTCTGGGTCTACATGAGTCAGGCAGTAATCAGATTTCTGATTAGCAACCAGCCAATAAACTCAGACAGAGGATGTAATGTAAAGTAAAACTCAAACTTTACGCTGCAGTTTTTTTAAAAACATTGCACCACTTTATCTGAAACCATAAACGTGCGTCATCTAGAAGATGAAGAATATTTAAATTCTTCATTTCGTCAAGAATGTATTTGGTTTCAGTGTTGCTCCAAAAGTGTTCTGCTGCCATCTGTCAACGCTGCTTGCTTATTTCCGGTACCGCGATCTGTTTTTGCACATGCGCAGACTGAGAAATCTGAAAGAAATCAGAGTAAGAGTACATATGCACTGAGAAATCTGATTAGAGAGCTGATTACTAATCCAGCTCTCTTTATTGGGTTTCTTAATCGAAGAAACCAGACTATGCTTTTTACATGATCATTTGAATAATCAGATAACTGCAGAAATCCGATTATTGGAAATTGGAATATTATATTATTCACATGCTCTCATTGTGTATTAAAGTGATTTGTCATTGTCTTTATGCTTCTTTCACAGCTGAGACTCTAATAGAAGACTCTAATCACTCTGTAGGCCTGTATAAAGCATTTCGTAATAAGTGGCCGCGGGTTCACCCATGGGTCATGCCATGTTTAGATCATGTGACAACAGCCGGGCAAACTCAACATAGAAGAAAAAGATTTGTGAGCTCATTGGTTAAAGCTGTCAAGGCTATGCTGGTCACTTTCACAAATGGGTTATTTAATGCAATACCTGACAGGTGAGGTTTGAAAAGAAAGTAGTATTGAAAAGAAAAAATATCATGGAGGATCATCACCACTTCTTACAAGTAGAAACCACAGGGACTCAGCAGCAAGTAAAGATTAGTATTGATGAAATAGTGCTTGGTCCTCATCAGGGGGCCAATTGCACCTCTGACGTAAGTTAAAATGTAGGCTAGTTATTTTGTAAGTGTTTACTAAGTTCAGCTTTACACATTACTATATCAAAACGAACCTAAGTTACCTAAGCTAAGGAACTTAAGGTCTAAAAAAAAATTCTCTGTGAGAAAAATGATTTGAATTTTTGGAAAATTCTGTCCTCTGTCACATTCTGAGATCATCAAAAATGTAATTTGTCCTATGAATATTTTTCTGTTGAATATCACTGGATCCCCTGGATAACAAGGTCACTGAAGAGTTGAAATATGAATATTGCTACATGTAAGCTAATGCTACTGCGCACTGAGTTAATATAAACCATATAAACCAGCACGCTTTTCCAGTGTGGTGGCCCTACAAGCTGACCTGCAGTCAGGCTACACTGCTCAACATGACCAGACTGAAAATGGTTTTCACCTCTTAATAGACTTTTGGTCATACTTGAAGGCTGACAAACCACTAAGTGATATGACCACCTTGGAGTGGTCCTACCAAGCATGCACATATCACTAGTATAGCATAGTAACTCAGTGTTTTAAATACTTTATTGTGTTTTTAAAGTAAGTTTAGCACAGACTCAGCTTAATAGTACTATTTACCACTTGATAAGCTGATTTAGGCCTTCAGAATATCCTAATTATTCTTTTAATGCTGGTAACAGTTTCTGATAAGGACATATGGCAGCTTCTTGTTCTAATTTTCCCATTCCACCTTAAATGGTTCAGCAGTTACATTCTAGCCCCTGAGGCGTTATAATAACGGCTGCCCTATTTAAGGTGGAATGGGAAAATTCGAACAAGGAGCAGCAAATAAGAAGCTGACTTCAGCTTCTTAGTTTTAATGCTGGTAGTATTTTTTTGATAAGGTGATTTAAGCTATAAAAATATTGTATCGACATGCAACTGGCTGGCACTTGCTCTGATGAGCTCCGGAGGCGTGACCCTGCAAAGGCTCATCGTAGGCATGTGCCCTACTAAAAAGGGACTAAAGCCTGTTTAACTGCCATTGTTTTTCAGTTATAAATGTTTTAAATGTCATGTTTTAATGTGTCAATCTGTGTTGGGAAGTGGGGTTATTAGTGGGGGTAGTTGTGTTGGGGGTTGAACACCGACAGGGTGAAGCTGATGGCAAATGGTGACCTACCCCACAGGTTGAATGCTCTGTATGTGCCTTTTCTGCTGGTGTGTTCAATGAAAAGCACTTGGCTGGGGCAGCTCTTTACTTCCTGCTGATGTCACAGTATTTTACCCAGAGGTTTTATGTGTGAAGTAACTATGAATATGGTAGGACATATTAACCTTACTTTCGTGTCGTGATGACAACTTGATACGCAGCAGTATTAGTTTGCATTTAACAATTTTAGTATTACGACTCTTTAACATCCTCATTATTCGAATGATCCAGTGATATACAGAGACTACAGAATGACACAAGACTTCACTGGTCTGCTGCTCCTTTAACAGCTTTCAAACTCGAGCTTTTCTACTCCAATCTGGAGCCTCTCTGTTTGGAGCTTTTTATAGGTGGTTCATGTTACTGTAATTAAATGTCTCTTAAACAGCCTGATCTAATGCACTGGTCTTAAAGACTGTTGAGGTGTTTAATGTGTGAACTGTGTCTCTCTTGTTCTCCACAGTCATGAGTTCAGCTCTGTATCTGATCCTGCTTTTCTCAGGTCAGTGTAGCTTCATGATCATCTGTAAAACTCTCTGCTGCTTCATTACTGTACTGTCATGCTGATGAGAGCTTTCATCTCTACAGCTCTGTGGACTCTCTCCTTCTGTGGGACTCGTCAGTTTCATGTGGTGAATGAAACGAAGAACTGGACCGACGCTCAGAAATACTGCAGAGAGAAATTCACTGACCTGGCCATTATTGAGAGCCAACAGGAGATGAACGCTGTAATAGCTGTTCTCAACGGGACAGCAGACGATTTCTGGATTGGAATGAGGAAGAATTACACTGTAAGCAATTTGGAGGAACTTGTACCATTCATAAAACTACTTGTGATGTAGGTTGTGAAAAAATCTTTTTACTTTATAAAACATTATTAGCTATTAAGATTTAATCATTAACCTGTTGCCACAGCAGATAATTGTGCATCACTTACTCTTTGTTTGCTATATTACATGTAGTAATAATAATAATAATAATAATAATAATAATAATAAATTATTATTATTATTATTATTATTATTATTATTATTATGTTATACATTTTATTTATATAACACTTCATGATGGTGGCAGCTCAAAGTGCTTTCCAGACAGGTGATAAAACATAGTTATACATGAAATCCTAAGTATTTATTGAGAATCAGAAGAAAATGAAACAGATCACATTAAAAGATAAATACCATGAGATGTAGAGTTTTAATTAAATGCTAATTTAAAGAGATGCATCTTTAGATGCTACTTAAAAGTGAGCACTGAGCTTGACTGTATAATAAAACATGGAATAAGCATAATAACTGAGTCTCTCCATGTTTTCTGTATTTTACAGAAGGTATTTGTAGAAGGTCAGTATCTGCAGATCTAAAATCTCACGCTGGAGCATAAACAGACAGACAATCCGTGATGTAAGCAGTGCTATAAGGTCATTTTGAGCTTTAAAACTAGTAGCAGAACTTTAAAAACTATCCTAAATGACACAGGCAGCCAGTGCAGTTCTTTTAAAATGGGAGTGATATGAGCTCTTTAATTTGCTTTGGTTAGGATGCGCGCTGCTGCTTTTTTTAGGAATTATAAGGGATATATTGTTTTCTTAGGAAGTCCAGTAAGAAGAGCATTACAGTGATCAACTCTCCTGTAACAAATGCACGAACAGGTTTTTTTGTGTCTCTCTGAGAGAGAAAAGGTCGAACTTTAGCCACATTTCTCAAATAATAAAAAAGCTATTTTAGTGTTTGTGTTTACATGCCAGATAAAACAGAGCTCAGAGTTTAAGATCACACCCAGATTTCATATTTCAGGTTTGGTATATGAAGCTAAAGAACCAAGTTTCTCATAAGACTTGAGAAATATCTGACACACAGCTGGTTAGTCTGTCTACAGAGTCTTGATCTTCAGAAGGAATAGAAATGTATAACAGGGTGTCGTCAGCATAGCTATGAAAAATTGTACTATGTTTCCTAATGACCTCACCTAGAGGGAGCATGTACAAAGAGAAAAGCAAAGGCCCTAAGACTGAACCTTGAGGAACTCCACAAGAAATATGACTTAAACCATTCTAAAACTGTGCCCGAGAGGCCGACCCAGCTTTCAAGATGCTTGTGGTCAACAGTATCAAAAGCTGCACTAAGATCTAATAAAACCAGCATAGAAAAATTTTGTGCATCAGCCCTGAGTCTGAGGTCATTCATAACGTGAACCAGTGCTGTTTCTGTACTATGGTTAGAACGAAAACCTGACTGAAACTTGTCATACAATTTGTTTGATATTAGATATGTATTTAGTTGTTTGAAAACAACTTTTTCTAAGACGTTACTTAAAATGGTAGGTTTGAAATTGGTCTGAAATTATTTAGTATAGAAGGATCCATGATACTCTTTTTTAGCAGAGGCTTCACCAGGGCAGTTTTAAAAGCGTCTGGAAAAAACATCTGTTGACAGAGGACAGTTTACAATAGTAAAAACATTGTGAACACAATCAAAAACCATCTTAAGGAATGAAGTAGGAACAGGGTCAAGATCACATATGGACAAACTTAGCTTATTTAAATTGATAACATTGAGATTGATAACAGAAAAAGATGTCATTACTGATGTAGGAGGCTTTTCAGGAACATTATAGGAGCTTGTTTCAGTCTGCTGAGCTACACCCTGTCATATCAGGTCTATTTTATTTTGAAAATGAATTGCGAACTCTTCTCAGATTTTAGAAGATAAATCACCATGAGACGCACTAGCAGTAAAGTTGCGGTTAATTAGTCAGTCTATGGTGGAAAAAAGGATTTTGGTATTATCTTTGTGTCTATTAATTCCACTGGAGAGGTATGACTGTCTGGATATCTTCATAGCATTATTATAGATTGAGATCTGATCTTTGAGAATATCATGATGTACCTTGTAGTATCCGGAGTTCCATGTGTTATCTGACTTTGCAGGTTTGGAATGTTTAAGTTAGGGGGGCCCTGGTCCAAAGGTCCAAGGGTCAAGGTCCCATAGGGAATGGGCCACTTTCTCTTCCTCTCCCTGACTCTCTTAGTTCCAGATAGATGAGATCATTTTAAAAAGGACAATATGTTCTGTTCCCTTTTTCGAAAACAACCACCCTATATAAGCAGTTGGTTATACTGTTCTGGAGGGGACACTTCCGAATTGGCACGGATCCCCTCTCAGGTACTTTATAGTACTCGATATGATACTGTTTTACTTTGTAATTAACATCTTATACAAGCAAGACAGTGTCAGCGGAGACTTCATCATCTTCACATCATCGCTATTTAATAAACAACAACCTGCAGTTTAGTTTTCCTCCATAAGCGCTTTGATTTACATTGTTTAACATCCCACTGGACCTCAAGTATGTAGAAGTTTTTTTGTTGCTTTTTTCATTTTCAATTCGCTGTTGCATATTATGCACAATTAATTACAACCACCGACCTTTGAAAGTCACTTCTTCTCTCATTGGATTCATGAGACCCCTGAAAAGGATTCAATAGCCGCAAAGTTAAAGCTAAAGCTACCCCACGCAAGCACCACTCATCTCCAATTCACGTGTCCAACAGGTTTGCCCCACTCAGTGAGGCACCCTCTGAGACGGCAGTTGAAAGAGCTCTGGTTATGGTGATTCTATTTTACGGCACGTGAAAATAGCTTCTCCCTTAGGGGCGCCAGTAGCAGTTAGCAGTATACCTGGAGCCAGGGCGCCGGACATTAGAGGGAACCTGAAGCTGCTAGCTCGTCATAGATATTCGAGGATAGTCATTCATGTAGGTACTAATGATGTTCGTCTGCAGCAGTCAGAAATAAGTAAAGATAACATTAAAGAGGTGTGTAAATTAGCCCGGACGATGTCCAATGCTGTAATATGCTCTGGCCCCATCCCAGTTCGATGTGGCACCGAAATCTACAGCAGGTTATGGTCACTGAATTGCTGGTTGTCCAAGTGGTGCTCAGAAAACAATGTGGGAATTTGTAGATAATTGGTCTACTTTTGAGGACAAGCCTGGTCTTTTGAGTCGGGACGGTATCCACCCCTCACGGGAGGATGCTGCTCTCATTTCCTGTAGCATAGCTCGTACTCTCTCAGATAGCCGTCAGTGTAGGACAGTCAGTCGCTGACAAACCAGGGCCAAGGCCAGACAGCAGACAAACAGGCTAAACCAACCCACTGCGAGCTGCCTGAGGAACAAATAAGAATTCCTTTTCACTATTTACAATCTATAGGCCGCCAGGGCCGTATTTTCAGTTTTTACAGGAATTCTCTGACTTTCTATCAAGTTTAATAATGTTTCCAAATAAATAGTAATTTTCTGAGATTAATAATTGTCTGAGATTTTAATATTTACTTTGATAAACCACAAGATCCACTAAGTAAGGCATTTATATCTATCTTACACTCTGTAGGTTTCACTAAAAATATAAAAGGGCTTACACATTATTGATCACCTTAATGTCCATGGAGCTAAGAGGTGTACTGCACTTCTGGTGATGTGTTTGGCCATCCTGACATCATCACAGCAAGTTTAAATCTATTTTCACTGAGAGGTCAGTGTTTAAACAGTTCACTGATCAGGTATTAATGTGTTTCTAGAGCTGGATCTGGTCAGATGGGAGTAACTCCTCATACACATACTGGAACACTGGAGAGCCAAACAACGGTGGGGGTGATTACTGTGTGCAGTTATTGAAGGACTCTACATACAAATGGAATGATGACTACTGCACTTCCCCAAATCCCTTTATCTGCTATAAAGGTGAGCAATATAGATAATGAAATTCAGGACAAGGGAGGGTGATAAACAACACACAGAAAGAACACTGTCCAAAGCACAACAGCCTGTATATTTTAAACATGAAAAGTATTATTTGATGTGATGTTTTATTCTTTGTTCTTACCCTTCCACAGAGCTTCCGCTCATCCTGATTAATCAGACCAAGACGTGGAGAGAAGCTCTGAGATACTGCAGAGTGAATCATGTGGATCTGGTCTCTGTTCACACTGAGGAAATTCAGAACTGGGTGGAAACAGCTGTTGATTATGCCTCCACTGCTAATGTGTGGATGGGTCTGCGTCACACCTGCACCCTGAATATCTGGTTCTGGGTGAATGGAGAGTCGATGTGCTATGATAACTGGGCTCCGGGGAACGGGACAGGGGTGGAAGACTGCAGTGGAGGAGAAAGAACAGGAGCGGTGCAGTCTGGAAGTAAGAAGTGGGTCAGTCTGCCAGAGGATCAGAGACTCAACTTCATCTGTACCATCAAAGGTAAATCTGAGAGTCATAAGTGACCTTATTTCCAAAAATTTGGGGACTCTGTGCAAAATCTAAATAAAAACAAAATGCAATGATGTGCAAATAATTTAAACCCTAAATTTAATTAAAAAATAGTACAGACAATTGAAACTAGGGAAGGTTCTTGTTTTTTGAAAAGTACATGCTCATTTTAATTTGATTCCAGCAACACAAAAGTAAAGAAAACATTGGGACAGTGGTATGTTTACCACTATGTTACATCACTTCTTTTTTAAAAAAATATTGTGTATTAGTATTATTTTGTAAGCATTTGGGAACTAAGAAGACCAACTGCTGCATTAATGCACTGTGCACTGATAACAAGCTGGCTGGTCCCTCTTCTCTTTAGCTCGGAGGTCACAGCATCCCTGATTTCCAAAAAGAATTTAAAATTTTGATTTGTTGGACCACAGGACACTTTTCCACTTCTCTTCAGTCCATCTTAAATGAACTCAGGCCCAGAGAAGGCGGCGGCGTTTCTGAATCCTGTTTATGTACAGTTTCTTCTTTGCATGGCAGAGTTTTAACTTGCAATTGTGGATGCAACGACAAATTCACAGACAATGGTTTTCGGACGTGTTGCTGAGCCCATGCAATGATTTCCACTACAGAAGCAGGTCTGTTTTTTATGCAATGGCCTCAGAGAGCCTGAAGAGACTTCTTTCACAGAGTAGTGAACCCTCCCCTTCTTTACCTCTGAAAGACTCAGCCTCTCTGGGATGCTCTTTTTATATCCAAAATGTTACTCACTTGTTGCCAAATTATCCTAATTAGTTCCAGCAGGTGTTTCTTTAGCATTAAACAACTCTGTCTTTTTTGCCCCATCTCAACTTTTTTGAACCATGTTGCTGGCATCAAATTCAAAATGGGCACATCTTTTTCAAAAAACAATATATTTTCTCAGTTTCAACATTTGAAATGTTGTCTTTGTGCTGTTTTCAATTAAATGTTGTGTTTAAATGATTTGCACATCAATGCATACTGGTTTTATTTACATTGTGCACAGCATCCCAAATTTGTTGGAGTTAAATTTGTTAACAACAAAATGTTACCTAAACAAAACTGATTCATGATGTTTGCTTCTTTTTAGAGTTCTAGAAGTGGATGCAGGCTGTTCAAATGGATCCTCATAATTCAGGTTCATATGGATGTTTGACGGCCTTTTCTTCATCAACACACGCATTCTTTGGCACATATTTACAACAATTCAGTTTAATCAAACACAAATTTATATATTACTGAGAATACTATGCTTTCTTGTCAACAATATCTAAAGACCAGTAGTGACCCATGACTTTTAGAGCTAGTTGCTAAACTTATCTGCCCCCTGCTGCTTTCTGGGTGGGTCAGTTGGTTACCTGGCCTGACCCTGTCATTTTTTAATTAGGTCAGTAGTTTATCTACTGTGTAAGGCTTTCTGTTCATTTCCTGAAGTCCTACCCAATGGGAGAACTCTCACGGCTTTATTTAAAATGTCAAGATTGTAACCCTTTTGTTTCTAACTACTGTAAAACTTTACAATGAAATATAAATAATACTACAATATTTGCAGAGTTTAAATTAATCATCATACATGGTGATTATATTAAACAAAAATTAACCAAAAATATCAAGCATTTATGTATCGATTCCCTTGTTCCATGAAGGCCCTGAGCTTTCCCCACAGCTTAAGAGAGTAGATGTTTTTTAAGATCATATTCTTTAGGTTTTCTCTCTTACATGTGACTCACATAGGTTTATCTTTGTATCAAGTACAAAAACTCATGAATAGACACAACACAGCAAAAGGTTTCAATATATAAATGTCCTTTTTCTCTCGCAATGTTTATTCAATCTAAGCTTGATTTATATCCACTGTATATCTTTTTTATTAAGTCTGCTAATAGAAACATTCTCAAAGCATCTGTGATATTTACAAGATAAGATAGTCCTTTATTAGTCCCACAATGGGGAAATTCACAATGCTTAAGAATGAAATTCTTCTTAAAAAAAAAAAACAATATTTTTTCTTATAGGCTATATCTACAATGTATTAATAGACTAGACCATGAAAATACTGTTGTATTATCCTAGGGCGCATAACTGGGGAAATTCCTCTCAGTAGAGTTCTTCTCCTGTGAAGATTTACGGTGATATATTGTTTAGCTGGTTTAATGCATTTTATACTTTTGATTTGAAGACTGTAGGTTATTGCTATTTTGCTGTGCTTATTCAAATAAATAAACTTAGATTCTTGAAAGATTGTTTTGTGAATGCTCTCAATCACGGCTGATAGAAGTTGAATCAGAGAGGTCTGTGTTCATTTAAGTCCTCATTTCAAATGGTTTTATTTTCTGCCATTTAAAATATTGCAATGTCATCAGTTAAATCTTAAACATCTGTTTAAATGACCAAAGTCAACATGAAACTATCTTGGAGCAAATTCTGCTCGTGTCTTTGCGGATCTGTTAGTCGATGTTTTCTAACATCTACAATTATACTGGAACTATTTGCACATTCAGTTTTTAAATATGCAAAGTATGCTCCATTTTCCCTTTTATATTAAAATGAGATCCTGGCGATTGATTTATAGCTATAATTTACGACACAGATTCACAACATGCAAATATTTTTATTACTGGACTACACAAGGATGGATTAAATGCACTATTATAACATATAAAGTTACTTACATGAAGCAATGACTCAATCAGAAGCCCGGCCTAGCATAGCAAAGCACAGCTTGAATAGTAGGAGTAAAATGTAATTCATCAACAACTTCCAAAGCCTAAAAAACTTTAAATAGAATTATATAAGATTGAATAAGATCCTTTTGGTCCAAAGTAAAACATTAAAGCTCCAAAGTGAGAGGTGTGACAAACAGTAAAGCAGCCCTGGCAGGAGCTAAACCAACAGAATGAAAGCCGGAACTAAGATTTCACTCTGAAGTGGAACTGCGTAAAAAGTAGATTGTTTCCTTCACACAGATAAGCTACTCTTTCTAATCAGCTAGCTGTTCTTTGAATTTACTCAAAACATTTAAAATCCATACACCTTTTCAGGTATATGGAGCCGAGTAAATGTAACTAACACTCTTACTGTAACTAAAGCTAACCGGCTAAGCTTCCCACACCTCGCTAGTTAGCAGCATAGATAGAGAGGAAAAACTCAGGTTCAGGTGCCTGACATTCATAAATTATTATCAAAGAGATATTTTCCAGCATGAGCAGACCAGTATTGTTATTACTGTCAATCTTTATACTTGGTTTAAGGAAGCCATGCTTACCTTTATGCTAGCTATGCTATGCTAGCTAACAAACGTAGCTTATTTTGAGCTGTGAGGCCTGGAAGCAGTGCTAGTGATATGAATCACAGTGCAGTGAAAAACAGCTGGATAGGCAGTCAGGACAGAGTTACATTATGTGTACTGCATTTTAAGACAACTTACTATTAACGTCCTTCGTCTTCAGCGGTCTGTGCCGCGATGCCGGAGCAGAAAACAGAAACTCCCTCACAGCATCTCCTGAATCCCGCAATGTTAGATCACGTAATCACCTCGCACTGCACCAGAGACTGGGTTTACTTAGCCGGAATTTAACTGAATGTTGGCATCACTCACTCATCACTCAGTTGTTGAGCCAACGTAAATGCACTGAAAATCTTCAGAGAATATAGAGATTATTACTGTGATGAGTTGAATAAGGTGTGTTGGGAGCAGTAAAACACTGAAATGTGCAGGGCAGGGGGTTCTCCAGGACCAGCGTTGGGAGCCAATGAGTTAATCCAGTCCTTTTATTAACATAGTCATCAATGTGCATTTATTAAAAGGCAGAGGGCATTGGTTTGTAATTTGGCAATCACCAAAATATTGTGAATTTCAGTGGCCTTGTCATGAGCTTGAGGATTATGGAATTGGGTCAAAACAAGCTCCATTTAGCGGTTAGCCTTATCTTCAGGTCTATTACCTGGTTTTATTATTACATTACTGTGAGGTGGATTCGAACAGCACTACTATTACTGAGGGAGCTCCGAGTTCAGAGAACCATAAAAGGCAATTCACTTTGGAATTACTAAGATTAAGTGACCTGTATTAATCCCACAACAGGGAAATTTCACCTCCACATTTTACCCATCCGTGCAATGAAACACCACATACACACTAGTGAGCACACTTGCCCAGAGCAGTGGTCAGCCCTATCCACAGTGCCCAGGAAGCAGTTGGGGGTTAGACGCTTTGCTCAAGGGCACTTTAGTCACGTACTGTCGGCGCAGGGATCAAACCGGCAACCTTCCAGTCACAAGGCTGGTTTCCTAACCTCTAGCCCATGACTGCCCCTAAAACCCGTGACCTTGGCATTATCAGCACTTTATTACTTAGCAGAATTGTAAAAATAGATGTTGTAGATGTGAACTGGATTAAAATCATGGATCTTGTCAGTAATCACTCAAATTACAGGTAAAACTAAAATTCTGCTCCAATAGGGCTCATGAAAGTCATGTAATTAGAAGTTTGACTCTTTAAAATGAGCTTAAATTTTTGTTGGACCTAGCTGCTAATCACTTTGCTGATTTTACATATTCCAAGTCAGATTTTTTAGAAACTGAACAATTCACTTGTCTAATAGCTGGTTTAGTAGTACAGCTAAAATACACCTGTGATGATGTAAATTACTCCTTTACACATCACAATATAATGACTGATTGTAAACACTTACCTGTACTTACTTGACTGATTATCCTTGCTTTGAGGAGCAAAGAGAACTGAACGGGTTCACCTGTGAGTCCATCCTCTGTAGAGGAGGAGGGAAGGACAAAACCTGCAAGAAGAGTAAAACTGTTTAAGAAGTGTACAATGTATTGTGAATGCATATTAATGACGTTGTGAATGTAAATCTGATCAATAAGTGAAGAACATGAATTATTTACTGTTGAATGTAAATATATTTAAATAGCTGAAGCACTTGTTTTAACCCGGGCCAGTAAAATGGTATATTCTAGGGGAGGAGCACCCCAAATATAAGAAGCATTACTGGAGGGTATGAGAGGGAGATCCCTTCTTTCAGCTCAGTGGAGGTTTGAAGGTGATGAGTATAGACCTGTATGACTTTGCAGTCATTGGTCCGTTCCATAGTTGTAGAGACTATTTTTGTTTTGTTTTCGTTTGTGATGTGTGCGCGTGTAAATATGTATATAAGCCTGAGTGTTGGTGTGTAAATAAAGGTGACGGGGAGAAGAACTCTTGGAACAGCTGTATTTTATTCCAGTTACTTGGACCACTTGCCCGGCACTACCCATAAGGTGTGTCCCCTGCCACAGCATACTGCCAGGTTGAGGAACACACTTTATCACAACACCTTTTTTCCATGTAGGCAAAATATTTGCAAACCTACAAAAGAAATACAGTTCCAAAATACTGATTTTGGAAATAGCCCTATGCCCAAATAGCAAGACTCCTGAATTTGAGTCTTTCAATAGTTTTGGAGCAAAGACTATATTCCTGTGTCATTGTTTCCTTGTCAAATTCTTTTGCTAGTTCAGTGACAATAAACAAAATTTATTTGTGAACTGCTATGCAATCTACAGGGACATGTTGCCACACCTCCAAAGTTCAGTCTTAGAAGGTGGTTGCATTTTTTGCTTTTAACGTATAAAGTAATTCCAAACACATTCAATGATGTTGAGGTCTGGACTTCGCAGTGGCCAGTCCATTTTTCACAAGTCATACTCAAGTGCGCCACCAGAGGTCCTCGCCCTCTGAGTTCTAACTGTTGCCGAATCACACACACCTGTGCCTCATCAAGATCCCTACATAAGGCCCTCTCAGTTCTTTGTGACTCTGGATGTTGGACTTTGTTTTGGCCTTCTGTAATAGTTTCCCTGCTGCTCCTTGATGTTTTAACTGGGTCGTTCTACAGAAACGTCCATTTTTGTGTCCCTAGAGTTTAGAGATATATTATAACCATCCTGTTTACCAGTATCAGGTATTCTTATGGCAGGTAGTGTTTTTTGGGTCATTCCTCCTCCTATCCACTAGGGAGCTGTAGGGAGGTTGCCCTGTTCTTGCCCTGCTTCTTTCTTTTTTGGAACGTCTAAAAGGATGTATTGTTTCCTGTCCATGTGTTTACGGGAGACCAAGTTGCGCTAACATGCTAATGCTAATGTGCTAATGCTAACATGCTAAAAGTATGGTGGTTGGGAACTCACTTTACCCTCTTATGCAGAAGGAGACTTTATATTGCACAAATGCTGTGGCTGTTGTTGGGAGAAACTGAGGACTATTTGAAGGCTTGCTGAGTCTTGGTTCATTGCTTCACCCCAAGTTACATCTGTCCCGTTGGGCCTATGTCTCCTATAAGCTGCAATCTCCATGGACTGCTATAGACTGGTGGGACCAAACTATTTTCCTCTTTAAGGATTACCCTAAACCAAAACCCATGCTAAATAGCTTATGGACTATTGTTGTTTTTTTTTTGAAAGACTGTGTGTTCTGAATGTTGGATTGTTTGGGGAGGGGTTCTATCCTCTATTGTGTTTTTCTACATTTTAGATAAAAATAGTCTCAGATACTTCCTGTTTCATTGTGGTTCTGTTGGTCACCTTACTCACCTCTTTGGCTGTATATATATATCTCTCATCAAGAATTCCAAGCACCACAGAAGTGCTGTGTAAAGGCTGAGTGAGAGAGGAAATAAAGGTAACGAGCTTGTGAGCTCTGGCTATTTTGACCCAAGAGTGTCCAGCAGTTTGCCAGGGTAAGACAAATTTCCCATGTTCCTCGCTACCTGCAGTGAATTTGTACCCCATCGTTTTGATGGTATTTTAAGTATCAAATATTGGTAAATTAGCAGATTATATTTTGGGCTATTATAAAACACTAGCAGACCGATACACTGGTTGATGCACGTCACTTGCAGTAAATAAACAAATGAGGATGTAAAGCAGGTGGGCTGAGCATTCCGGGCATCATTATCAACTCGTAGGTTTGGGAAGAGAGAACATTCAAACTAGAACCACCAGGTTCAAGAACAGTTTCTACTCACAAGCTATTAAACTGGTCACACCCAGAGCACCACCAGATCATGAAGACAAACACTAGTCTAACTGTGTGCACACTGTACTGTAATGTTATTCTGAACCGCTGACTGACGTCATACTTGATCTAGTGTTCTTACTATTGTTTAGAAAACTATCTGTGAAACTTGCACACATATTTTGCATATATATATATAGTAAATGAAATAAATTATGGGTGAATTCTGACTTTTGCACTATGCTGTATATACCTGCCACTTGTATGTTTATAAACAGGTGACAAATTAATGGAAGCACCAACATAAAGTGCCTCAGTAAGTTGTGGGCCACCATGAGCCACCAGAGCAGCTTCAATGCACCTTGGGGTAAATTCCACAAGTGTATTTGAGGGATGGAACACCATTCTTCGAAAAGATATCCACCTATTTTTCACACGGCAGCTGTATTTCAAGATTATGACCTAAATATCCGATTCTTGAACAAAAGTGTTGCCCATCACTGTTTTAGGTACATCAAGGAACATGTGCTTACTTGGTTCTCATGTTCCATGTGCCATTAAGTGAGATGTTTTGGGAAAACAAGCAGTTTGTGGCTGTTACTATAGCTGAGTGCAAGAATCTTATGAACATAAACCTCTCAAAAAAGCACATAGCTTCTTAAAGCCCTGTTGTTATTGTTGAAATTGGTGCACATTAAACATTGCTGTGCAACAGCATTGCTTTATGGTCTTATGGCTGTACATGATGGTGTAAACAAAATGTTTGAAATGAAGTGAAAATGAAAGGACTTCGTTTGCATGAGTAACTTGTGTAGGCTATAAATAGGATCCTCTGACTAAAACAGGTTTAGGTTTCTGTTGAAAAATCGATTGCAAACATCAGCACATGAGCTTTCAAGCATCCCAAAAATAAATTATTCATATGTTGATTTATTCTGTTACGATCCTGGGGGTGTACAGTGTTTTATTTGTGCTCCCATAGGCTTGGTGTCTGGAGGGCTCTGTTTGGGAACAGCAGGGGGCGCTCCAGTTACTTAAGGGCCGGTGAGACACTGCAGAAGGAGGAGAGGGCTGTTTTAGTGGTTGCACCTGTGCCATCAGTCGCCACCTGACCAGACCAAGCACCCAAACCTTTTGTTTGTGGACTCGTGCTGTTGTATGAGTTTGCCTAATTACTTGTAAAGCTCTCTCTTTGTAAGTAAGGGGGTGAGTGCCCTACGTTTCTCTTGTATATTGTCTTCTCCAGGTTTGGGACAGGAAGGCAGCCTTACTGTTGTAACTTTGTTTTGAGTTAGATGAGTTTTTAGTCATCTTTTTGTTTCTAGTTTGTTTTTGGCCTTATCTCACCCCCTGAAGTTTATCTTTTCTATAAGCTCATCTGCATTTGACCAGTATAAAACTAGACTTACCAGCTTTTACAAGATGGTGCCTTTAACTTATACAAGTTAAAAGAAATAAATGCTGATAATTGGTCAAATATTTGTAGTTGGTGGTGGCTTGGTCTGGTAGTTGGATGGCGTTGGCTCATTTTTTTTATGTACCGCCTTAAATTTTCCCCTAGACATTGGAGGTCATAACAATTCCCATACTTCCATTATAGTAGGAAGTTGTTCGCATTCAGCATTTTGTCAGAAGTTATGTCCATAAGATGCTCAAAGCATCACAGGATTGATTGCCTCAAATGTGTGTTTTTGATGATGATGGAGAGTGCTGTCCAAAAATCTCCCACAGACGTTTAATTCGGTTAAGATCTGATGACTGCATATGCCATAGCATATCATATCATTTTCATACTGATTAAACCACCCTTTGTGCTCAGTGGAGGGCCACTGTCATCTTGGATAAGACCACTCTAATCAGGAAATGTTTCAGGAAAAAGGTGATCAGTCAGAATAACTTTCTATACATTTGAAGTGGACCCAAGCCATTACAGCACAACAGAGCCTCACAGCAGGGGTCAAGCATTCAGGCCAGAACTGTTAATTTGGTGTATGCGACCCATGCTCCAGAATATGGTGAAAGATGACCCATCTGAATATATCACTTTCTCCATGTCTTTGTAGACCAGTGCCTTTGTAATGTCTTTGTAATGGGTTTATGCTCTGCAACCCTATAATATCCCGCTCTGTGTCATTGTGGATGGACTGTTCTAGCAGACACAGTCTGACCATGGCCTGCAGCGATATTCATTCATTCAGTCACCTGCTTCCTAACAATGAGATGCCTGTTATTTACTGTATGACTCTGATTACTGTATGACTCAGTTCTGTGTAGCTGTTACTTTGCATTATTTACAGTAACATGTTCATATGTAAATCAGCCTCAGAACAAAGAGAGGCTTGATAGGATTTGGATTCCTCTGTTATCTCACAGAACTCGGACTGCAGGAGACACGCACAGACTAATCAACCAGTTGTTGACCGGTAAGAAAACTTTAGGAACTTACTAAGATTACTTACTGAGCTTCATCCAACCAATAGCATTCATTTTTAATATTCATCTTTAAGAAAGCTTCATTTTATATAAAGCAAAACATAAGAAATTTGGCTCTTAAAGAAAATACTGTACTTTTATATATGTTATTGTCAACTATAATTATCATTTCTGTATGTTTTTTATATTCACCCTTTTCTCTGAGCTTCTTTGTATGTTGCGAGTTCAATTCCAAAAAATCTTCACACAGTGTATGAAATGCCCATGAAACAGAAAGCAGGGATTAGTAAATTCTATTTTATGCATTCAATTAAATCAAATCAAATCACGTTTATTGTCATATCACATTTACACAGGTGGAAAGTGAGTGGAAAATCTTAGGTGCATAGCCCCCTTACAGAATTTAAATTATATATATATATATATATATATATATATAATCTAATATCTAAGAAGAAAAAAAAATATGTATATGTACAGTTGTACAGTAATAAGTTAAGAAATAAAACTATGAAATGTGCTGTTGTACGCATTCTGTATGTGCAGTGAGTCTGAGGTTGATAAAGAAATGAGATGCAGGTACACAGGGATAGAATACCAATATAGAAATCTTCCAGATTATACAAGATATGGATATAAGATGTACAAGATGTCAATCTATGTGTGTAAGTACAGATTTGCTAGATTGAAGGTGCAGAGGATCAGTAAGTTTAATGAGATGTGGATGAGGTGCAGTGACAAGCCTGTAGACCGATACACCAGCACTACTACACTTTTTGATGAACCCGGTATGAGTCTGCATATTCGTCAATGGTATAGTTTGACGCCTCGCGGAACATCTCCCAGTCTGCATCATCACAACAGTCCTGGAGCGCAGAATCCGATTGGTCCGACCAGCGGTGGACCTCTCTGATGGTAGGCAGTGCCCTTTTCAGCTTCTGCCTATACATGGGCAGGAGTGGAATGGAGAGATGATCCGATTTGCCAAATGGAGGTCGGGGTAGGGCTTTGTACGCCTCACGGATGGGGGAGTAGCAGTGGTCCAGCGTGCGTGATTTTCGTGTGCTGCATGAGATGTGTTGGAAGTACTTTGGAGCAACTTCCTTAAAGTTCGCTTTGTTGAAGTCCCCAACAACAATGGAGACAGCCCCCGTGCGCGCAGTCTCCTGCCTGTTAACAGCCTCGTACAGTTTCCCGAGCGCCAGGTTTGTGTCAGCCTGTGGTGGGATGTACATGGCAGTGACAGTAACCCCTGAAATCTCTCTAGGCAGCCACAGGTGTCTGCACAAGATGATTAGATATTCCAAGTCCGGGGAGCAGAAAGACAAAGTGTACATTCCTCTGATCACACCAAGCATTGTTGATCATAACGCATACACCTCCCCCTTTGCTCTTCCCGGAGAGGTCCTTTGTTCTGTCTGCACGGTGCACAGAGAAGCCCGCGGGCTCAATGGCCTCTGTGAGGCAGATTATACAGCAGTCCCATGTTTCTAGCTGGAAAGAGATTCGTGCTCTGAGTTCGCTGATTTTGTTGTCCAGGGATTGCACGTTTGCCAGTAGTATGCTGGGGAGTGGGGGGTGATTAGCATGCCGTCTCAGCCTGACCAGAACTCCGGCTCTCCTGCCTCTTTTCCGGCGTCTGCGGTGTTTCCTCGGTCGGTAGGCCCAGATGAATGGGGCCTCTCTGAGGTTCCCGAACAATGGATCTGCGTTCAGGAGCTCAAAGTCCAGTTTTCGCTGAGTGATCGTCGATCTGATTTCCAAAAAGTGTTTTCCTGTCGTAAACGAAGGTGCTGGCAACATTTAGTGCAAAAGTAGTGACAAATAAAAACAAAATTAACAAAAAACGAACAGAAGTTAAGGGAGCTCGCAACACAGCAGCCATGCTCGGTGCCATCTTGGACCCATGTTCAATTGGACCCAAATTCAGTACAAAAACGCAATATTGTATGTTCTAATTCATGAACTTTTTTTTTTTTTTTAGTATGTGCTCATTCCAAGTACGAGTTTACACACTGGTAATAACAGTGTTACCTTGCCACTGTATTACATCACCTTTCCTTTTAATAGCACTTAATAATCATTTGGGGACTGAAGACACAAACAGATCCAGACCCCAATACAGACTTTATCTTTTTCCTGTTGTGATACTGAGTCTTGTAATAGCTGCACAAACTTAACCCCTTAATGTCCCAGACTTATTACATGCTAAGGTGTATTATTCAGTAACTACAGGGACTTCAATGCAAACTGGTTGAGCTATTCTCAGGTTACAGAAGTTTGTAGTAAAACTTTGGGCCCTTCAGGGGTTAAGGTTCCTTCATTGTTATATTTTGCACATCATCATGCACCACACTTCTCAATAGGAGATAGACAGACCACTCTAGCACCCATACTCTCTGACTATGCAGCCATGCTCTGGCAGCATGTGCAGAATGTGACATATGTTCTTCAAAGTATGTATATATCCCTCAGCGTTAATCTGAAAAAACCAACAGCTTTCTTTCTCTGCCAGTTTATAGTAAAAACACCAGAAAAACTACAGATAATAAAAGAAAACCAGGAAAACGAGTAGACAGGGCTGTGTGTACATGCAACGATTTTTGCCGATTAAATACATTCCAATTGTGGATTGAGGTGTTTACATGCTCACTCTACTCAATTATCTGATGGAAAATCTCCGTTTACACATCAACTACAAGAACTCCGATCCAAAATTACAAGCATGTGTAAAGAACCACCAGCAGTGTAGACGTTACCGTGACAACAAGCATCACGTGAGTCCAGAGTGAGACAGCAGCAGTGTCTTACCTGAGTACGAGAGGAAGACGTTATGTTCTGAGACCAGGGATGAGCAAGTAGCTAAGTGGTGCGCTACTTTTTGCAGCGAGCTACAAATTTTTGTAGCTAACAGCTGTAGCCACTGCAGTTTTATGAAATGTAGCTAGTAGCTGTAGTGCCTACAAATTTTTGTGTAGCTATAGCGATAATTTTCACTACAATTTCACTACAGGATTCAGGCTATCCGCGCAAAATCTGAACCGCAGAACGCGGTCATTAACAGGGCTGGTGGTGATGGTGCTGCGGACAGTTCGAGCAAACGGTCACGCGCTGGTCCCACGCGCTGATCACCCCTTACTAGTAGACATCTTGGCAGTTAATAAGTCTCAGTATGTGCTGATGTACAAGTAAGGGCTGAAAATATAATGTAAATGCCAACACAGACTTACTTTGCTCTGCTTTAATCTTTAGCTCAGCTGTAGCCACTTCTCTCGTATCAGGAAAGTTTTCCATGAGTTTCTTGTAAAATGTCTCTCAATGTTTGTCTTTTTACGAGGCTGAAGTTGCTTCTCATTCGAATTGTCCCCTTCCACCTTAAATGGTGCCTGAGCCGCCAGATTTAATTTAAATGGTGCCTGCTGCACCATTTAAGATGGAACTGGAGAATGTGAACGAGGAGCAGGAGAATGAGAAGCGACTTCAGCTTCGCAAGTTGTTGCAGATTAAACATATCAGGAAACCGGCTGAGTACTTATAAATGCAAATAAGACCATCTCCAAATTATCAATGTTCGTCTTGAATCTCTCTGTTTGCTGTTTCATTATCTGCATTGCTGTGTGGCCAGCAGTCTGGGGGTCAGTGTTCAGCGTTAAAGGTTGGTGAATTTGCAGTTATGCGTGTTTAAGGCCATTTATTGTGAAAACTGTGTTAGAACTGTATGTTAATGATTTTACAGCAAAGGAGGATTGTTATTTTACCTGGCAATCTAGTTCTGCTGTGGAGCCACAACAGCTCTGCAGCAGTGGAGAGATTATTCAGGCCTGATTTTCACCCAGAGCCAGGGTCACTGATGAGAATTTTGAGGCTAAAGTGTTGCTGATGTTTAAGAAAGGACTCTGAATGTAATGTTTGTACGTACACTATATTGCCAAAAATTATTCAATCACCCATCCAAATCACTGAATTCAGGTGTTCCAATCACTTCCATGGCCACAGGTGTATAAAACCAAGCACCTAGGCATGCAGACTGCTTCTACAAACAGTAGTGAAAGAATGGGTCACTCTCAGGAGCTCAGTGAATTCCAGCGTGGTACCGTGATAGGATGCCATCTGTGCAAGTCCAGTTGAGAAATTTCCTCACTACTAAATATTCCACAGTCAACTGTCAGTGGTATTATAACAAAGTGGAAGTGATTGGGAACGACAGCCACGAAGTGGTAGGCCACATAAAATGACCGAGCGGGGTTAGCAGATGCTGAGGCTCATAGTGCGCAGAGGTCGGCAACTTTCTGCAGTGTCAATCGCTACAGACCTCCAAACTTCATGTGGCCCTTCAGATTAGCTCAAGAACAGCGTAGAGAGCTTCATGGAATGGGTTTCATTGGTCGAGCAGCTGCATCCAAGCCTTACATCACCAAGCGCAATGCAAAGCGTTGAATGCAGTGGTGTGAAGCGCCGCCACTGGACTCTAGAGCAGTGCAGACGTGTTCTCTGGAGTGACCAATCACGCTTCTCTGTCTGGCAATCTGATGGACGAGTCTGGGTTTGGCGGTTGCCAGGAGAACGGTACTTGTCTGACTGCATTGTGCCAAGTATAAAGTTTGGTGGAAGGGGGATTATGCTGATTATGAGCCAGGCCTTCTCGTCCAACATCAGTGTCTGACCTCACAAATGCGCTTCTGGAAGAACGGTCAACAATTCCCATAAACACTCCTAACCCTTGTGGAAAGCCTTCGCAGAAGAGTGGAAGCGGTTATAGCTGCAAAGGGTGGGCCGACATCATATTAAACACTATGGATTAAGAATGGGATATCACTCAAGTTCGTATGCATGTGAAGGCAGATGAGCGAATACTTTTGGCAATATAGTGTATTTCCACAGGCAGGTGCCGAGTTCCTCATGGACACTGATGCTAGTGACCATCGTACTCTCTCAAGTACAGTAATCAGAGGGTCAACGCGCATTACAGCCGTTGAGTAAGTCAGAGCAAAATTATTGTGTAACGTGGAAGGGACTGGCTGTTGTGGTGGGGCTGCACCAGTTTTCGGTCCTACCTGCGTACTGTTGACACATCATTGACCTGGCTCATGTAGTTCAAAAAGACTGAGGGTCAGCTAGCGAGGTCGATTGTGCCATTACAGGAGTAAAACTTTCCATTTAGCACCATGCTGGGCAGATGGTTACCATAACTAAACGAAAAGTGACATGTAATGTCACTTAAGCAGCATGATCTAATGTGCTGGTAGTAAAGACTGTTGAGGTGTTTAATGTGTGAACTGTGTCTCTCTTGTTCTCCACAGTCATGAGTTCAGCTCTGTATCTGATCCTGCTTTTCTCAGGTCAGTGTAGCTTCATGATCATCTGTAAAACTCTCTGCTGCTTCATTACTGTACTGTCATGCTGATGAGAGCTTTCATCTCTACAGCTCTGTGGACTCTCTCCTTCTGTGGGACTCGTCAGTTTTATGTGGTGAATGAAAATAAGAACTGGATCGACGCTCAGAAATACTGCAGAGAGAAATACATTGACCTGGCCACCATTGAGAGCTACGAGGAAATGAACCCTCTATTAACTCTTGTCAGTGGGACAGCAGGCCATTTCTGGATAGGACTGAGACAGAAATTTGAACAGAACACCATTGTAAGAAATGTTGAAAATATATAGGCAAGAACTAATTCAGTAGAATATGATAAAACTTGCTCCAAAACCAGCAATAGCAGATGTTTACATATCACTGCACCTGATCTTTATTAATGTATTACTTATTTTAATTATTCTACTGTAAATATAACTCATGCTCTGTAGAGGTCTATGTTAGACGTACATTTGTGACACTTGTGGCTCAGAGAGTTGGGATGGATCCATCTGCAGGTTTATTTAGAACCGGGCAATCCACAAAATCGTAGTCAAAAACACAAAGTAAAGGGGTCAGCACAGAAAGTAGTGAGACACAAAAGAACTGCCAATGCTTCAGTGGAATGCTGTGTTTTGGAGAGTATTTGAGGTGAGGCTGATTAGGGTGGTAATGAGGGGCAGCTGATGAGCAGAGAGATTGTCAGGGAAGCTGAGCTAGTACTCAGGGGAGAGTTGGCCAGGAGGGGAATTGCTGACAGTAGTGTCTCAAACGGGCTGCCCAAGATGCCAAGCAGTCTCAGAGTTGGATGGTCAGGGTGGTCTCGAATGAGTGAGAGGTCCAGAATGGAGGGTTCAACCACGCCACCTAGAGTCCAACAGGGTCCAAACCAGGTATGCAAGTAACAGATCAATGTGCCTGCATCTGTGTTTGCATCACCAGCGTAGCTACATTGTTACTGATGCCTATGTCATTACCACAGCAACCCATGCAGACAGGTTGGTGACACCTGAACATGCAAATCAGATCTGATCACTTGCAAATAACAGTGCAGAGAGTTGTTACAAAATATCTGATTTGATAAAGAAGACTATGTACAAATATGTTAAACAAGGAATAATCTGAGGAAAATTTAACATTTTAAAGTGATTTAGTTCCTGTTCATAAGCCGGGTTGTTCCAGCCTGGATGCTGCTGTATCTCCTGACTCTCTCCACTTTTGGCTCCATTAATGAAAAGGGGAGAGTGACCACCCCTCTGCAGCTTCCTGTAGTCCACAATCATCTCCTTAGTTTTCCTGATGTTAAGACAGAGGTTGCAGTCATGGCACCACTCTGACAGATCGCTAACCTTGTCTCTGTAGGCTGTTCCGTCTCCATCTGTGATAAGGCCTAGGATGGTAGTGTCATCAGCAAACTTGAAGATACACTGTATAGTCCAAAGGACGATGAGGGGGCAGTTGCACAGCTTTGGCTTTACTGAAAACCGCTGAAAAGTCATATTCAGTGGGGAGCATCACTTGCTGTTGTGTGTCCGGGTTCTCAATGGAAATGGTCAGGCACAGAAGAGCTACACAGTGGGCATGGCAGGAAGGACAGAAATGAATGAGATCTCTAGTAGACCAGGACTATGTGGGGTTATGACTGGCTAGCCAGGGGTATCCTAATACTATAGGATTTTCAGGGGAGTCTATGATAAACAACAATGCTGTTTAATTATGAATGAAACTAATGGTGAGCTCTAAGGGACAATGGTGTCAGTATCAGTGCCTACTGGTTGGCCATCAATCCCCTTGATTTCAAGGGACTGGGGAATTGACAGGATAGAGCAAAAGATCTATCAATAAAATTCCAAGCCTCCCTCAAATCAATCAAGGCTGAAATGACAATCATCTTTGTTGAAAAGCTTCTTTGAATCGTTGTTCAAACAAAACAAAGTCAGCATTCCCAAAGGCATGCTGTGGTTGCCTACCTGAGAGCTTTTCCAGTGAGCAGGGAAAGGACTGTTTTAGCATTATCTGATGCAAAGGCAGACAGGAAACAGCGGAAATAAAGTGAATGCAGCATTGGCCCTTGCATATACGTGGAGCCCCGTGGTAAATAGGCAATAGTGGAGCTGTGGTTGTTTGGTGACCTATAGCCGGGAAGTTGTCTGGAGTTGAGATTTGGTTGCGGCTGCAGGGCACGGTTTAGTTGAAGTAGGTGTTGCTTGTGTGAGCACAGCAACCTCCCCTGGGCCAGTACTGCCTCATGAAGCTCTGGTAGGCCCACCGGATCTGAAGGCAGTCAAGTATTCTGTGACAACTGAGCCTCAGAGAGTCAAGATAGATCCATTCACAGTTTTTTTTAGAACAGGACAATCCACAAAATCATAGTCAAAAAAAAAATAATAGAGCAAAGAAGTCAGCACAGAAATACAGTGTAAAAACTCAGGCAACTAAGCAAAGGGGCAAAAAAACAAAAGTCCAAAAGACAGGGCATGGTACCAGTACATCAAAGGAAACAAAGTGCTGTGTTTGGGGAGTATTTGAGGTGAGGCTGATTAGGGCAGTAATGAGGTGCAGGTGTTATGATCAGAGAGGTTGTCATGGAAAATGAACTAGTATTCAGAAGAGAGAGACCTCTGGTGTCCAAGTGGGGCATTGTTATCAATATTACTTCAATAAACAAACACACACACACACACACACACACACACACACACACACACACACAGAGGTGCTGGAGCCTATCCCAGTGGTCACTGGGGTAGAAGGCAGGAAACACTCTGGATAGGTCTTCAATAAACACCATTTATTATTTATTTATTTATTTATTTTTTATTTTTACTGTTCCATTACCACATTTTAATGTGTTATTATGCACATCTTCCTAATTTTATAGCTTCCTTTTTCTAACTGTTTATTAAATGTGTTCTACGGCACACATTTATGTATAGTTTAGAAACTTTTTGAAATATCCACATCAACAATTTGCTCAACTCCCTACAAGATTTATGTGACTGTGATGATTATTTGATCAAGTATGATAAACAACACTGAGAGGTCAGTGTTTGAACAGTTCACTGATCAGGTATTAATGTGTTTCTAGAGCTGGATCTGGTCAGATGGGAGTAACTCCTCATACACATACTGGAACACTGGAGAGCCAAACAACGGAGTGGATGATCTCTGTGTGGAATTATCATATTACTCTGCATATTACCCTGCATACAGATGGTATGATTCAGACTGCAGTTCTCAAAAAACATTCATCTGCTATAAAGGTGAGTAGTATAAGATGATAAATGCAGAACTGTTACAGAGTCAATTCATCCTCTTTTAATGTTTGTGTTTGGAGCAGTTACACTGACTCACTGCTTTAATCTAGTCTGAATAGTGAATTATAGGATGCATTTCTGGATTTCTGTTTATATATGGCTTCTTCTTTACATGGTAGAGGTTTAAACTGCATCTGTGGATGCAGCAAAGAACTGTGTTCCCAGACAGCGTTTTTTAAAGTGTTCCTGAGCCTATGCAGTGATTTCCACTACAGAATCGCGTCTGTTTCTAATGCAGTGTCCCCTGAGGCCCCAAAGCTCACGGCCAGCCAATATTCATTCTCGGCCTTGTCACTTGCATACGGAGATTTCTCTGGATTCTCTGAATCTTTAATGATGGTGTCAGTAACAGTATCAGTGCTGTAGAAAATCTTTGATCTTGCCATGGAAGAGATTCAGGAGACTGGGGTTTGCAGAAATAATGATGGTTTTATTAAATGAGTGCTCAGTATTCCTGCCTTAGTCTCACCCCAATCTGAACAGCAGCTCAGACACACAGCTTTTATGCTATGCAGCTGACCCCCCACCCCCAATAGAGTCATACAGAACAGAGTGGGACATTTGAATCCTGTCGTAAATACCTTACTGTGTTCTGCCCCAGGACATCCTTCTTAGGGGGTGTTGTAAGGTCATTTGGTGTAATTGTTCAAACCACGAGAACAGAAATGGAGGTGGCTTTTTAAACCCTTCAGCATTTATACTGTTTAATAATGAATAACAATCAAAACAAAGGAAAATAAACAGAAAACTAGTAAATACATCAAAATAAAACAACTCCCAACAGTGCCCATCAGTCCCCTTGATTTTAAGGGGACTTTACAAGGGATCAGGGGAATAGACAGGGATAGAGCAAAAGATCTATCAGTAAAATTCCAGGCCTCCCTGGAATCAATCAAGGCTGAAATGACAATCGTCTTTGTTGAAAAGCTTCTTTGAATAGTTGTTCAAACAAAACAAAGTCTGCATTCCCAAAGGCTGAGAACTCCAGACTGCGGGGGACTACCTGAGAGCTTTTCCAGTGAGCAGGGAAAGGACAAACACTGTTTTAGCATTATCTGACCAGACAGGAAGCGGCTGAAACAAAGTGAACGCTGCATTGGAAAGCCCTATCATAAATGTGGAGCCCTGTGGTAAATCAGGAATAGTGTAGCTGTGGTCGTTTGATAACCTGTAGCCGGGAAGTTGTCTGAAGTGGAGATTTGGTTGTGGCTGCAGGGCACAGATAGAGTGAATGAGCTCCTCCTCAGTGCGGTTTAGTTACAGTAGGTGTTGCTTGTGTGAGCACAGTAACCTCCCCTGGGCCAATGCTACATTGAGAAACGTTATTCTTGTGTTGTACTATTTACCTGCGCAGTCTTTTACAGAGTGGTGAACCCCTCTGCATCTTTACTTCTGAACGACTCAGCCTCTCTGAGATGCTCTTTTATACCCAGTCAGGTTACTGACCTGTCACCAAATAACCTAACTAGTTGTGAGATGTTCCACCAGGTGTTTTGTTTAGCATTACATAACTTTGCCAGTCTTTTGCTGTCCCTGTCCCAACTTTTGTGCAGTGCGTTGTTGGCATAAAATTCAAAATATGTTTATATTTTTATCATTCAGCATGGTGAGTACACTGCAGTTAAACTGTCATCGAAAGCAGTGTGTCGTCAGCTTTTCAGCAAGTTTGCATTAGCAAAGTAACCTGTGAGTGTGAGCTGCGTATTTGTCTAAACTATGCATCTAAATGATCAAGCGAAACATTATGACCACCTCCTTGTTTTTCCTGATTAATCAAAAAAAAAATCAAAGCCATGTGCTATTTTTGTTTCAGTGTAGTGAGTGAAATTGTTGTTGAAGTGATTTTTTTAGTTTCATTATGTTTCTAATGAAAATGGAAAAGAAAATTGAAAGTATAGATATACAAGGACAGATGGAAGACAGTTGTGTTTGTTACACGGCTGTAACATGTGGAACATTGTTCTTTTGCACGTACGGGTCAGTTCAGAAGTCAGACCTTTTCAGACTAATGTAGGATGCAGACTCCACTGAAAAGACAATGGGAACAAACAGTGATACATATAGAATCCTCAGTGAATAGTGTGTACAGTAAACAGTGAGGGACTGATCTGATGTACTGATGTGTGAACTCTTGTTCTTTCTCTACTCAAGACCTTCCGCTCATCCTGATTAACCAGAACAGGACGTGGAGAGAAGCTCTGAGATACTGCAGAGAGAATCATGTGGATCTGGTCTCTGTTCACACTGAGGAAATTCAGCACTGGGTGGAAACAGCTGTTTATTATGCCTCCACTGCTAATGTGTGGATGGGTCTGCGTCACACCTGTGCTCAGAACCTCTGGTTCTGGGTGAGTGGATCGACTATGTGCTACCAGAACTGGGCTCCGGGGAACGGGACAGGGGTGGAAGACTGCAGTGGAGGAGAAAGAACAGGAGCGGTGCAGTCTGGAAGTAAGAAGTGGGTCAGTCTGCCAGAGAATCAGAGACTCAACTTCATCTGCAACACCTCTGAGGGTGAGACCAAGGTTTCTGTACATTCTAATAACAAATATATCCATATTCAGATATGAAATTATAATTACTTTTGTTTCTTTTCAGACCTTTAGATTAAGGATTCAGGCAACCATCATTGAAGCTGGATCTACATACTGTCCTCCACATTAGTGTGCCTTATTTCATTACAGTCTGATTTTATTACTGAATTTGTCTGTTTTCTGTGATACATTAGCACATTTATTAAATCCATAAGCAATTCATAAGAAACATTTAAAAACTTCCCAATATTTATCAGCTCCAAAAATCTCTTTATACCGTTGACTAGTGGCCCTTAGGTGGCCCTTTTCATTCTGAAAGTTAACCTAAAGGTATATAATTCAAAAACTTATGTACACATTATATGTCAAAGTGTGTAGACGTCTGTTCATCCAATGCTTCTTCTGAAATTGAGGGGCTTAATAGCAAGTTTGTTCCCCTTTGCCGTAGTACCAGCATCTACTCGTCTGGGAAAGCTTTACACTAGATGTTGAAACATTCTTGTGAGGACTACAGGAGGATTAGTGAGGTCAGGTGGATGTTGGATGATGGTACTGATGATGTTAGTTCTGCATCACTCCAACTCATCCCAAAGGTATTTGATGAACTCCATATTTCACAGAACCACAGTGCAGCGTTGGGGGGCTTTATCCCCCAGTATTGGTATAAAGCTCATGTACAGCTGTGCCAGAGTGTCTCATTCTATTGCTTAGATTAAACGAGCTGAATACCTGTGACAGCAATAGATGCTTCTCTAAGTGGCTACATTTACAGCATTGGACAGACATTCTTATCCAGAGCAACTTACAATTTGCTCATTTTTACACAGGCAGGCAAATGTAGTGTTAGGAGTCTTACCCAATGACTCTTTTTTGAATAGGGTAGGGTTCAATTTATGTCCCAATACCAAGTGGCTGCTGTTTTTTTAAGGTGAAGGGCTTTGTACTTTAACTTAAAAATAAATTAAACATTTTTGCAGTTAAATGATTACAAAACATTTTTTTCTGTTTTTGTTGTTATCTTAGATTGTGTCTGGATTTGCCTTATGATGTTATTCTGTGAGTGTGGAACTCTTAAGTGTGTCATTCAATGACCTCCTCACCATTCTGGCTGGTTTTCAGTGGCTTTACTGCCTTTTTCTGAATAAATGAGCAGCTTCAAACAAAAAGGATGGTGTCACCTGACTCTTCTTCTGCACGACACCACAATATTTTCATTACAATCTTCCAGTAACACCATAATTACAATATTATTTGGCTCATTTACAAGCAATTTAATGTTAAATGAATGACTTTTCCTTATCAATCTATACAATTTAGTATAAAAGTAATTTTCCCCAAGCTGTGCAGGAATTCGGCCCTCCAGGATGAGAGTTCCCCACCACTGCCTTAATCTTAGCATTATATAACAAAGTGCTGATTCTGACTCTACGTATGACAACATTATGGCTTACACTGCCAAATCAACAATGAAAGGAAAGACGAAAGAAAAGAAATTGTAAAGAAAAATGATGAACTACAACAAGGACAAACAGCCTCTGTATAGCTTTCCAAGGTAGTTAAAGGGCATGAAGTGTAACAGGTGCTCTAAATTAGTAACTGTTCTGCAGAACATCTCCATCTAACTGCGCAGCAGATGTAGTTAAGTAGTCTTTGTGACTGAACTCCTGCCTTTCACGACGGACTAATAAACCTTTTCTCAGAGTCACTTGGATCTTTTCTTATTGTCATCAACAATCCTCAATCATGGTAAACTGGGCATGTTTAGCATTTTGACACCTGTCATGTTTCTCCACTCATTTATTTAGTTTTTTCCTTTCTTTTCACTGCGTAGGTTCATGATTACTTAGTGTGGAACATCTCTCAGCCCCCCTCTACCCCATTCTTTATTAGAAAGGGGCCACAATAGGACCACCACTGACCAATTAATGTTTGGGCTTTCTTAGCATTACAAACATAACACAGAATGGTACGAACATAGATAAAAAATTTTTACATTTTTTAAAAAGTTTGGTCAAAAGTAAAATAATGAATGCAATTGAAGGAAATAAATAAATCACTGAACTTAGTTATTAGTTATTAAAAAGCACAGCATATTTATATATATATGTATATAAAGGTGTAAATGATTCATTTTACGACATATCTGATACGTTTGATATGTTGCTTCCTAACAATGAGATTCCTGTTATTTGTTGTATGACTCAGCTCTGTGTAGCTGTTCATTTGCATTGCTTACAGTAACATGTTCATATGTAAATCAGCATCAAAACAAAGAAAGAGTTTATAGGATTTGGATTCCTCTGTTATCTCACAGAACTCAGACTGCTGGAGACACGCACAGACTAATCAAGCATCTATATAGAGATTCGGTTGTTGACAGGTAAGACAACTTTAGGAACTTACTAAGATTGGTTACTGAGCTTCATCAAACTAATAGCATTCATTTTTAATATTCATCTTTAAGAAACAAGTTTCATTTTATATAAAGCAATACATAAGGAAGAAATGTGGCTCTTAAAGAAAATACTATACATTTATATACATTCTGGGATTGGGAAATGAAATGGGATTGGGCCTTAGCCCTTAGGTTAACTGTTTGCACTGAAATGCAAATGCCGCTATTCCATCACCTTTTCTGTCAGCTTTGCTTACATTCATGAAACTAAAGTATGGAGGGGTAGGTTCTAAAAGGATAGCTGCACTGTTTCTGTAGTCTAACCAGGTTTCAGTTTGAAACCTGAAGAATTGGTTATTTAAAGTAATAAGTTCATTAATTATAAAAGATTTGTTTGCAAGTGGCCTAGTATTTCATAGCGCTAGACTCATAATTGTGGACTTCATCTTTACTTCTGAAAGACTCAGCCTCTCTGAGATGCTCTTTTTATACCCAATCATGTTACTGACCTGTTGCCAACCAATCACCAGGTGTTTTTAGCATTGCAAAACTTTACCAGCCTTTCGTTGCCCCCGTCCCAACTTTTTTGGAACGTGTTGTTGGCATCAAATTCAAAAAGGGCACATATTTTTCAAAAAACAAGAAAAATTTGTGATATGATTTGCATATCATTGAATTTTGTTTTTATTTACATTTTTCACAGCATCCCAACTTTTTTGGAAATGGGGTTGTATTTTGATTGATCTGTTAGTTGGATTATTACCGGATTATCAGGCTGCATGTAAACGTGGCTACTGTAATGTCCATATTGTTGTTTTCTTTGCTTTGAACTGTATACTTGGCTTGATACTCCACATTATAGAAAAGAGTATTTTCTTGCAAAATATCTTTTTTCTACACTGGAACAGGTAAAATAATCCTTCCCTTAGTGGGTAACATGGTTTCATAGTTTTGCCCCAATTCAGGCACTTCATAAAACTTTTAAATTAAAGTTAAAAATATTTGATGTTGCAGTCATTTTTTAAGTCGGCATGAAAAGTACAAAAAAAGAAAGTACAAAATTCAAACAACATATTTACAAGATGGCCAAAAAACAAAAAGGGAAATTTTGGCAATGCAGCTCAGACAGAAGATTCTCCAGGTCCAGCTGATATTCAAGCAAGAACAAAAAGAAGTCTGTGGTGTCGTCACACTTTGCATTTACTGTGATGGCATGTTTTTTGGGCGTTTGTTTAAAGGGTCAATATCCAACATTTTTGTACTAATTAATTAATTAATGTATGTATGTATGTATGTATGTATGTATGTACATAAAAAGGGCCCTAATTTCCAAACTCTCTTTACCCTTTACAATAAAACAGGCTGTTTTTGTTACTGTGCCTGAGACTGATATGTAAATGATCTCTGTTCTGATTCGCTGCCCTGTATTGTGCCTCATTGAAAAATACACTCAGAGGTGAAACACACCTTATAGAGCTTCAATATTGTGGCATTAGCGAAGAAGAAGATACAGGAAACGTTGCGCTTTAAAAGCTAATGCTCTTTTATAGACCAGGCAACAATTTCAACTACGAACATGAAAGTCTCTCCTACCGTGAGCGCAGCACCTCCCGAGAGCCTCTTTGCATGGCTGCCCTGCTTGTTCATGCCTCCCGCACTCCTACAGCTGCGTGACCAGTGGTGGTTCGCCACAATATGAATGGGTAGAGCTAAACTGATGTGGGTCCAATAGGGGATTATACACCGATCAGGCATAACATTGTGACCACCTCCTTGTTTCTACACTCATTGTCCATTTATCAGCTCCACTTACTATATAGGTGCACTTTGTAGTTCTACAGTTACAGACTGTAGTCCATCTGTTTCTCTGCATACTTTGTTAGCCCCCTTGTACCCTGTTCTTCAGTGGTCAGGACCCCCATGGACCCTCGCAGAGCAGGTACTATTTGGGTGGTGGATCATTCTCAGCACTGCAGTAACACTGATGTGGTGGTGGTGTGTTAGTGTGTGTTGCGCTGGTCTGAGTGGATCAGACGCAGCAGTGCTGCTGGAGTTTTTAAACACCTCAGTGTCACTGCTGGACTGAGAATAGTCCACCAACCAAAAATATCTAGCCAACAGTGTCCTGTGGGCAGCGTCCTGTGACCACTGATGAAGGACGAGAGGATGACCAACACAAACTGTGCAGCAGCAGATGAGCTATCGTCTCTGACTTTACATCTACAAGGTGGACCAACAAGGTAGGAGTGTCTAATAGAGTGGACAGTGAGTGGACACAGTGTTTAAAAACTGGATGGACAATGAGCATAGAAACAAGGAGGTGGTCATAATGTTATGCCTGATGGGTGTATATGTCAATGAGTTGGTTCTCACAGCATCACAGAAACAGTTCATTCAAGGTGGGCTGTTTGCCTGTGAATTTGACCTTTGCGTCCGGCATCTGGAACCCCAGATGTTTAACCTTGTAAAAAAAAAATCACATTTAGTACATTTACTACACACAATAATACGTTGCTTCATAAATAAATGTACATTGTTCATTTAAAATAAAAGCATGACTATTTAATTAAAGCCATTTTTCATGCCTTTCTGTTCTCTTCAAATTCCTGACTGTGGCTTCAAGTTGCTCATGTTACTGTAACTAAATGAAAGGTCATCTCTCAAGCAGCGTAATCTGATGTGCTGGTAGTAAAGACTGTTGGGGTGTTTAATGTGTGAACTGTGTCTCTCTTGTTCTCCACAGTCATGAGTTCAGCTCTGTATCTGATCCTGCTTTTCTCAGGTCAGTGTAGCTTCATGATCATCTGTAAAACTCTCTGCTGCTTCATTACTGTACTGTCATGCTGATGAGAGCTTTCATCTCTACAGCTCTGTGGACTCTCTCCTTCTGTTGGACTCATCAGTTTCATGTGGTGAATGAAAAGAAGAACTGGACCGACGCTCAGAAATACTGCAGAGAGAAATTCACTGACCTGGTCACCATTAAGAGCCAAGAGGAAATGAATGCTCTAATAGCTTTTCTCAATGGGACAGCAGGCCTTTCCTGGATAGGACTGAGGAAGAAAGTTCCACAGGACAACACCACTGTAAGCAAACAATAAATCATTTTAATAAATAAGTAAAAACAAATCAGTAATGGCATAATGTACCAAAATTACTTGAAAACAAATCTTTTTTCTTTCTTCTGTAAAGTTCCCCTTTTGGAGAGTAACTATTACTTTAATCTCTATTTAAATTTTTAGCACTTTAACAGACTTACTATAGACAATTATGCACAGTTTTGAACCATGTAATTACAATGTTACAAATAATAGGCCTGCTATAGAACACAATAGGCCTCATTCACTAATATCTTCCTAAGTAATTTGTTCTTGAGAAAGATCCTAATAAAAAGTCTACGTCAGGTTCATGACGTGTTCTTAAACCTCAGAGCTGTGTAGATTCTGTTTTTAACCTAAAAACAAATCTCAAATAAGAAAACATTGGTGAATGTCAGAATCTTTCTTTCTAAATTCTGAAGAAATTTCTTCTTAAGAACACTTGGTGAATGAAGCCTATTGAGAATCCATAAACCAGAAACCTTTCATTCTCAGATTAATTGAAACATACAACAGTGTATTCAAATATATACATTTAAACCTGGTCATACTGGTATTTGCTGTTCTACCCTGTGGTCAAAGCAAATTCATCATATTCATTATGATGGAGATATTTTATATTTGCATTGGTAGGAAAGCTCATCTGTTTTAAACTACATAGAATTATCCTGAATTAGTTTTATTTGCATCAATTTACCGGACATTTTTTGCAGCTGTCTTTTTTTAAATTATATTGTATATAAAATATTTTTAAAATTTCACAAAAGTCAAAGATCCCGTTTATACCTAATCACTTCATGCGTCTTGAGTATCAGGATTATGTCTGGATGAGGCCAAATCACATAAAAATGCAGGTGTAAATGCACCCAAGACACATTTAAAACAGACACAAATCCAACAGCACAAACCACTTCAGGAGGTGGACTGACACGCATTTGAGCCACATAAACGCATCCATCTCTCACAGACACATTCGACAACCAAACCCCCCCCCCAGTACAACCAAAACTACTCCCAGTACAACTGAAACTACTCCTAGTACAACCTAAACTCCTCCCAGTACAACTGAAACTGCTCCTAGTACAACAAAAACCCTCACAGTACAACTGAATCTACTCCCAGTACAACTGAAACCCCTCCCAGTACAACCGAAATCCCTCCCAGTGCAACCAAAACTCCTCTGAATACAAGTGAAACTACTCCGCATACAAACAAAACCCCTTCCCAGTACAACCGAATCTCCTTCCAGCACAACCTTAACTCCTCCCAGTACAACCAAAACTCCTCCCAGTACAACTGAAACTTCTCCCAGTACAACCGAAACGCCTGCCAGTATAAATGAAATTTATCCCAGTACAACCAAAACTCCTCCTAGTACATCCAAAACCCCTCCTAGTACAACCAAAACCATTCCTAGTACAACCAAAACTACTCCCAGTACAACTAAAACTTCTCCCAGTATAACCAAGACTGCTACCAGCACAACTGAAACTCCTCCCAGTATAACTGAGATTTCTCCCAGTACAACCAAAACTACTCCCAGTACAACCGAAACTCGTCCTAGTACATCCAAAACCCCTCCTAGTACAACCAAAACCATTCCTAGTACAACCAAAACTCCTCCCCGTACAACAGAAACTACTCCCAGTACAACCGGAACTTCTTCCAGCACAACCAAAACTCCTCACGGTACAATTGAAATTCTTCAGTACAACTGATCCTCTTCTCCATGCAGTATGTCAGTGGGTGCATGATCCGTGTCTACGAGGAAGATAATTCTGGAGGATGCACATGGTTGAGGACCGGATGAATCGAAAGGCTTAAGAGCAATATCGACAGACACTACTGTACAGAACAAACTGCAGACGACTTAGTAAACAATTGGTAACTGGTTGTCATGTAACAAGCAGATTTGCATGTCCTGTCACACACATCAATCAGATTTTAGTCCAACTAACCGGAGACGCATTTAACTGCCAGGTGTAAACGCATGTGTCTAATCTTATTAGGATACAATCCAGATACTAGACATATGAAGTGACCAGGTGTAAACGGGATCAATATGTTAGGTTTTACCCTGTTCTCCCTTACTGAGAGTGTTCATTTGTTTCTAGGGCTGGATCTGGTCAGATGGGAGTAACTCCTCATACAGACACTGGACGCCTGGACAGCCAGAAAACGCTGGGAGTGACAACTGTGTGCACTTAAATCGTAACAGTGGATATAGGTGGAATGATGCCGGCTGCTTTGTCATAATTCCTTTCGTCTGCTATAAAGGTGAGTTATATGACTTTATAAATGCAGTACCCCTGTTACATGTCCAGTCCATCCACATTATGACCACCTCCTTGTTTCTATGCTCATTGTCCATTTTATCAGCTCCACTTACTATATAGGTGCACTTTGTAGTTCTACAATTACAGACAAATAGTCCATCTGTTTCTCTACATACTTTTTTAGTCCACTTTTACCCTGTTTTTCAGTGGTCAGGACTCCCAGTGGTCAGTTGTCTCCTTTGTCGTATTTTTCATTACATAATACGGCAAATGTTTTCAGTGGTGACAGGTCTGGACTGCCGGCAGGCCAGTTTAGCGCCCAGACTCTTTTAACATGGAGCCATGCTGTTGTAATACATGCAGAATGTGGTTTGACATTGTCTTGCTGAAATAATCGAGGCCTTCCTTGAAAAAGACGTCATCTGGATGGCAGCATATGTTGCCAAGACATATATATATATGACATATATATATATATATGACTCAGCATTAAGAAAAGCTCTGAGCTTGGGTAGTTCACTGATTCTCTGTTCACATTAGTCCCCTATTCATGGAAACTGGAGTTCGATTCCACTTTGGGATTAGTCACCATATTACTATCTACAAATGAACAAAAAATGTATTTTTTACTATTTAGCTGTTCATTTGTCCAGGCACACAGATCTCCATAACAGTCTCAAACTCGCTGACACAGATCTCCAAACAGTCTCAAACTCGCTGACACAGATCTCCAAACAGTCTCATACTCGCTGGCATGTCAAATTCAATGCTGCTATATCTGTTTCTCTCTCTTTGCGCTCATACAGTGCAGAAATATGGTTCAGATATTTCTTAATCTGTAGAGTCGCCCCTTCCCTTCCCTCATCTTATCACGAGATCGTACGTGACTCACATCTGGAGTTATAAGCCTATGAAGAGGGGCTGAGATACACGTCGTCTGCCTCTCACCATGTGTAATTGGTGGATTTGTGTTTCCGTCTACTTTTGTGTGAAGCGGACCAAAGGACGCTCAGGAAGTCACTCAGGACTGACCCATCACACCGTAAAAACCTTCGTCCTTCAATTAGTCACATCGGAGACACGTCAAATGAGGCATGCATAGAGTTTACAGCTGCTGAAGCTGCTGCAGAGGTTTTGGAAAGTAGTGATGAAGATGATAACATTTTGATATGAAACATATGGGTGTCATGTTATATGCAAGAGCCTTTAAAGGAGAGTTAAAGAAGATATGCGAAAATCAAGAAAATTATCATAGATAGATAGATAGATAGATAGATAGATAGATAGATAGATAGATAAACCTTTATTGTCATTGCTCAGTACAAGTACAAGGCAACGAAATGCAGTTGGCATCTACCAGAAGTGCAAATAGTACAATATATACACGGTATGTTATGTACTGTTAGAGTAAGCAGTTATGTGATGTATTCTACATACAGTGGACAGTCTGTTGTATGGAAAATACTCAAGTAGAAATAAATAGATTTGATAAATGGCCTCTGTCTCGTAAGTTTGATTTACCTGGAAATAATGCATTATACAAATGTTTGTCACTTTAGTTTTAGGACGGACATGTCAATACAATGTCATTTACCTCAATAATCATCTTATGTCATCTTGTGACTACTGGCATAAGCCATACATAAATATTCAAGTTGTCACATCTGCTGTTGCTGGTCCCCCTCTACAACCAACAGAGGTCGCTCTTGCCAGAATTCTAGACTTTCTAGACTAGATTTTGAGTACTGGTCTGTGTTTTTGTAATGTTTAGCCTTGTTCCTCTGAAAGATATACCAGTTTTGCTGTATCTGACTTTGAGTTTGGACAAATAAACCTGCACCTGGCTCCCTATCCCTGCTGTGGAGACCTGTTTAACACAATTCCTGCTTTAGAAATACATTATTCAATACTTATGCACATGTTATGAAGTCCCTATTTAGGTAGTCTTCAATTTAAGTGTCTTGATCCAGCATAATTAATTGTTTTGGCATTGAATTTGCTTCTCTTTTCTAGTAGTCTTCTTAATGGCAGGTAAATGAAAAGTGACAGTTTTGTTTCTCTAAATGATCAATTTAATGAAAACAAGCACAGAAATTCTTCATCTTTTACTGTCTTTTCTGTAAATTTTGTAAGGCATAATCACTTAAATGGGGCAGGAGGTTAGGGAACCAGCCTTGTGACCGGAAGGTCACCGGTTCGATCCCCTGAGCCGACGGTATGTGACTGAGGTGCCCTTGAGCAAGGCACCTAACCCCCAACTGCTCCCCGGGTGCTGTGGATAGGGCTGCCCACCGCTCCGGGCAAGTGTGCTCACTGCCCACCGCTCCGGGCAAGTGTGCTCACTACCCCCCCAGTGTTTGTGTTAACTAGTGTGTATGTGGTGTTTCACTGCACAGATGGGTTAAATG